TTAAAAAATTAATAAATAAAAATAATTTTATTGTTTTCAAAAATTTGAAAAGAATTTTAAAAAATTGATTGTAATGACATTGAGCTTTAATTTTAGTATTTTTGAAATATCTTAAATCTTAAGATATGCAAGCATTATAATGACAGAGAGAGAGAGAGAAAGAGAGGGAGAAAGAAAGAGAAAAGAAATGATGAATATGAACCTGTCTCTTCATTACAATGCTACTTATTAAAAAAATTGAACATTCATCAAATTGCATCAAAAAGAACTTTTGTTTTAAAAACTTAACAAAGAAAAAAATGGAAGGAAAACGAAAAGCAATCCATCGAATTGTTCATTCTCAATCAATTTTAACTATAAATTATAAATTATCGATAAATTCATTCATTTATTTAATTATTTCATAAAATGCTTAATTTTCTTCAAAAGAAAAGAATTGAAATTTTGTTAATTAATAATTTAATTATGTGGAATTTATCCAATCGATATTTTATTGATTGATAAATTTGTTAAAGTATGTGAGAATGAGTTGTGAAAGCTCCCGGAACAGATAGAGGAGAAGAATATTTGAAATGATTTACGATGATTTCTCCCAAATGCTTTATTTGGCTTCCCTTTTTTAATATAGAAAAAATGTGGGAAATAAGATATGAACGAACGTAAGGACAAGGCGGGAGTAGGCTATTTTATATGTAAGGAAGGAGTAGGCTATTTTATATGAGGAAAGCCTAAACATATATATATTTGAAGAACTTTCTTCTTCTTCCTCCTAGTAGCACCAACCACAACAGTTTAAAGGCTTCTTTAACTTCGCCAATACACACACCACACACAAACACACACATACACGCACACACAGACACCATTAATCACATTTTTCAATATGCGAAAGTCCAATTAATTTTTTAACTGAAACTAGAATTGTGAGATTATGCCGCAAATATCGGAATAAATTTTGTTTGGATGAGAAAAAATGGAGGGAAGAGATAATGGCCAGGAGAGTAAAAGGCCAAGAGAAACCATAAGTAGGCCAATGATCTTAAAATCTTGAAACAAAGCAAACGAAAATCCTAAAAAATCGAGAACTATCTAAAATTGTTTCAATACAAATAGTAATTAAAATTTACATTATATTATTGTTTAAGTAAATTAATGAAAAAAGTGTATTAATTTTGATTGGAGTTGTAAAAATGAACTTATGGTTGATCTTTTGCAACGTATGAGTACATAAATGAGATCATAAAGATTAAAAGATTATTTCAGATTTATTAAAACGATTAAAAAAATACGAGTAAACGAGCGATACAGTTAGTTAGATATAATTTTGGAGATTGCTAGAAATAATGATATTTAAATGATAAGTTTTGTTAGATGGAAAGAAAGAGAAACATTTAATGTCATTAATCTCAGGTAGAATTTAGACACGATAATTTTTGAATGAGAAATTAGAATAGTAAAGTTAAGTGAATTAATATGTTTACACATATATGCAACATTATAATGGCATCTTAAGAAATATTTTTACTTTACATTTAAGGATTGCATTTTATGAATCATTAAGACAATTCTAATTAAAGATTCTGATTAATTAACATAAAAAGCGAAGGAAGTATTGAAAGGATTGTTTGCTTCACAAATAAAGAGATAATCAATCCTTCAAGTTCATTATTACAACGAGAAATTATAAATTTAAATTAAACTTCTTCATGCCTTTGAAAGAAATTTTTGTCCGTTTAGAATTTATTTCATTTTTAATTTTTCATCTAATTTTTTAAGATTTATTTTTAATATAATTTCTTTAATTTAAAATTTTTCATTAAAAAAATCCATATAATGTTTTTGATTTCTTTTTTGACTTATTAAATAAGATTCTAATTCTCTTTTAATATATTCCCCTATTGGAACCACAGAAACATTTAAAAGTAAATGAAATTTGAAATATGTTAAAGTAAACAAGAGGTGGCAACAATTTGCATGATATGAAATCATTTTATTTTTGCTTATGAATAACATATAAATAAGATTGCTTATGAATAACTTTTAAATTACTTTAACTATATGTAGAAATTTTGAAAAAAATGATAAACTATTTTTGATTTGGAAAAGTATACTTCGAAATTGCAAATTTGGCGTCTTATATTTCGATTTTCTTCTTTCTTCAATCTCACAAACTATGAGATGAAATGGAAAAATATGACAAACAGAGTTTGTTTAAAGCTAAAACGACCATTTAATTATTATAAGTAAGCTTATCAGTTTTTTCTCTCTTCAGCTATCCCATAATCTTATTCCTGAATCGGCGAGAATACGGGATTTTAATGTACCAATTGATGATGATGAATCACATCCTTTAAGTCTGCAACTACCAGTTCTGTATTTTCCATATAGATTATAGAATAAAGTTTTGAAACTCAAACAACTTTTAAAATTTTAGAATAATGATGAAAATGAATAACGCATTGAAGAATGGCTAAAAATGATATAATCATTTACTGCTTGAAAATGAATAAATTGGAAATGGAAAACTAATTCAAATAAACTTTGGTTTGTAATTAATTCCCAACAAAGAAATCAGTAATTTCAAATTCGTTCCAATTTTTTTTATGAACAAAGTGTCAATAGACGATTCTAGAACAACAGATTCTTCTTATAACTAATTATAAAAATTCTTTCAAGCTCATCTGTCCTATGCTAATTTTGAACTCTAATTTAAACTTACCTATTCATATATGTGATACTCTTACAAATACAAATTCAGCATTTGCTTTTAAATCTTTAAATTGTTCATTCAACCATTAAGGTAATTAATGATTATAGTATCTATAATATGAAACGGATATTACATTCTAACAGTACGAAACTTGTTTAAAATTTAAGAGTCTGCAATGAAAAAGTCCATTTATTGTATGAATAAAATAAAATGCATTTAATGGCGCTTTTTTGGAAACTGTAATTAAACTTTTAAAAATGGAAAGAAATTTCAGAAACTTGAAATTTAAAAATAATTTTTAGTCCAAAGTTCAATAGCGAAAAAATGAATGAATCGATAAGTTGAGAGTTTGAATTAGAAATAAATGATGATACAGAGAGAGAGGAGAGCATAAAACCGATTTATTGTTTTTATGCTCGAATCTTCCTTTGAAGATTTTATTTATTCCTAAGCAACATCATCCTACTTTTCCTCTTTTAACTTTATTATTATTATTATTATGAATGAGCTCGTGAAAGTTTGTTTCAATCAGAAATAAAACAAAAAGCGATGTCGGAACGAGTTAAAAGATAAAATTTTCCGATTCATTTTAATGATTTCAAAGGGTAAGTAAGTCTGCCTATTAACTTTCACGAAAGAAGCTCATTCCTGAAATCAAAGAGTCAAAAAAATGATATTGATATTTTATATACAAGCTTTCCTGAACTTCTACTTCTAAACTTCCTAAATTAATTTTAGCTTTCTTCCCTCATAAGAGTTTAAAATCTACACCAAATTGTACCGTCGCCTTAAAAATTTTGTCAGACTTTATTTTAATGAAGTGTAAAAAGATGATTTGAAGGATAATAGAAAGCAAAAATTATGCTAATAAATTAATATTCAAATTAATAAATAAGATAAATATTACACTCAAAATAATCGGGTATCATAATTATTTATGGAATCGAAAATTTATTAGTTCCAGTTTTCATACTCTGATCTGTCCAATTTTTACTTTCCAGCTTGAAAACATTTATTCCACCAAAAACCAAATGAAAAGTAACAAATTGAAAGGATTTGAAGTGGTATTGTTAGCCTAAAATCATAATATAACAATAATGATTACTGCTGATTTCTTCTTCATCAATTCATGTCTCTGTGATTCTATCGTTACATTTTTCAAAAATTAGATAACATAAAGGAGATGAAATTAGAATGATCTTGATGATTAAACAAATATATGTGGACACGGAAGCAATAAATGGATCGGAGCGTCGCTACGAGAATGTGAATAGTCCTACATTAAACCTTCAAGACGAGTAAAATCCACAACATTCAAAATACTTGAAACCGTATAGGACACAAGTCCTCTACATAAATCATTTTTTTTCCCAACTTTTAAAAGAACTTAACACTTTGAAAGCAACCAATTCAAATGACGATAAAATCGAAAAAGTAAAAGCAGTTCCGACGGACAACTTCAATCAATTGCTAATAATAAATCTTAACTACTTATACTTCACATTTTAAATCATCGACCACGTATAACTACGCCGAGTATGGCCATTTTAGAGTAGTGCGTTTCTTGAGAATACTAGTCGTCAAACGGACCTTTTTTAACTATTGTTTAAGCACTTGGTAATTAAAAATTCATTATTTCTTCGAGGTGGTAATCAGCACCCTTAGCATCCATAAAAGCCGAACAGAAACCACCAGCCACAACATAATTCTTGGTGCAGAAGGAATTTTTAATACAATTCAAACATACATCCACGAAATTCTTCATGGAAATCAAAAAATTCAAACTGAAACAAAAGTATTGCTAAAGCATCAACTCAGAAAGTAAGTATGTCACCCAAAAAATCGATTAGGAAAAATTACCCAAGTAAATGACTTACAAAAAAACGATGAGAAACTCATAATGTATTCATTATACATTATCGAAATATTTCAGATTAAGAAGAAATCGATTTTACTTAGTCAATTTTGTCTGTCTTACCAATTGTTCTACCCTGTAGACAATAAGATACATAAAACGACAATAACAAAATAGAATTAAGGAAAAGCGCCAACGAAAAGAGTGAATTACTGAATTGAAGAGCTTCCTAAAAGTAACCAACTGAAAATTTCTCTTTATTTCACATCCTTTTCATGTTATTTAAAATGCATAAGTTTTCTGTACAACAATAGACCTTATAATACGCCAAGTAGTAGACATTTCCAAACCGTAGGTACGGTTTTGTTCAAAGAATTCTTTTCGGACCAGTAAACGAAAAACGTTATACGATGCATAAACATCCTTATATACGTTCTATGTGTTGGCTAATTTTGCGGCACTTGCATCACATGCTACAATTTTCACGCGATCAACAACGCCATCCACCGGTTGTGTTACATCACGGAATTCAACGTTTTCCATTACAAATGTCCAGACATTGTCACAAAATCGATATGCTTTCAGTTTGTCAGCCTGTAATGAAGTCATAAGGTGCGAAAAAAACCTCTTTTGAGAATTCCCATTTTTTTATTACCTCCTCCAGTCCAATTCCATGATAACTGAGAACAAAGCATTGTTAAAGGATCAATGCCAATCCCAACCAAAGTTAAAACCGAATCTTAATCCTCCATTTTTCTATCTCAATTATCTACTTTTGATTTTACATCCGATTTTCCTTTGACTGACACTCCGTATATTTTGAATAATTGTTATTGCTATACTATTACTTTACTGATTAAAGAAATCTCAACGAAGGAACAGAATATCAACACATTATTCAAAATAACATCAAGTATTCGTGATAGACTTATAGACTTATAGAGAACGTTGCTTGCCTTCCATCTGAAAACTTTAGAGAATTCCAGCAGTGTTAAATATAAAACTGAGACTCACCTTGAAATTAACTTTATTTTTAACTCGCTGAGATAATGCCCGGTTGATGCACTTGTCGAAAGTTGTCAGTACTGTTTGAGCTAAAGAAGGCGTGATTGTACCGTCCTGCAATCACATATACATAAACAAATACCCACATCTGTATTAATATATAACAGTTATTTCGAATCGCTATAATTTTTTGCAGAGAAAAATGGAAAAATGTATTAAATAATAAAAGGCAACCTCCACAAATTCATCTAATGTGCTTCGAAGAGCCATACCCAATGTTGTCGACCTATACAACTGATAAGACATCTAAAATTTGACATTCAAAGTCACTGTTAAAACGATACTAAGCCGCCAAACAAAACACGCATATTTTTAGAAAATTAAGAAACGTAGCATGGATATATATAAAAAGACACACAGGTTGCGTGAGGTGCAAGAAAAGAAGATTAGAAAACACCAACAGAGTAATTAAATAATGCCATGCCACTCTCTCTTCTCGGAGCACATATTTATACAACGATTTTTGAAAATTTGTATGAAAAATATGCAACGATTGCCGGATATCAAATTATGAAAGTTTCAAAAATTCTTGAGAGTTTTATTCAATACATAAATACAACATTAACAAGAAAAATAAATCAAAAAAAAAATAAATCGAAGAGGATGGTGAAAGAGAAAAACTCGATGATTCTCAGATCCTCAATTGCAAATAAATCAGGTCCAAACAGGCAACAAACCACAGAGGAACAATTCTGCTTTATGCATTAAAAACAATTGATGAAAACTCTTCAACTTCCTGAATCTTAAACTGAAGATAAAATGTAGAATTCTAAAACAGCATTAAATAGAATGATTTTACCGGTTCAGAGAAAATTTGCAAAGCTGTCCAGAACTATATGATGTATATAAGATCGGTCCTTTCGCAGACAAATCCATTGACAGCAAATGAGAACTTTCCGGAGCAATACTTTGTGACAGAACTACCTGGAAAAATAGCTGATCATTCATTTTTCAATTAGAAAAAATTAAACAATAAAAATTATACCCAACCACAAACAAGCTTCTGAAGATGTAAAAGAAAAACGTTGCAGAAATTTCAAATCTTCAGTTGAAGAGTTATCAACGGTATCACGCCAACTGCTTACCATTGCATTTTAAAGTAAAGCATTAGACTAATAATTTATAGTTTAATGCTTCAGTACAATATAGTGAGATGTACTTCAACACGCGAATTAAACTTCATGAAAGAAATATAAAATAAGCAGCTGGCTAATAACTCATATTAATGGTAAGCAGTTTACTGTGCGGTCATCATTGAAACAGAGAATGCATACATATGAAGTTTCAATTGGGATTAGAATTCTGATTTAACTGCTTGATCTGAAGATATGAAAAGCATCTTGCACAAACTGCATATGGACCAGAACTGAATATAAGTAAGGAAAGGAAAACCTACTAAGAAAGGCAGTCCACTTCGACTTTCCCACATTTTAACCATGCCACTGTAACCAGCACTAATAACGTACATCTCATTCAAATCTGTCGTGTACCACCGACAGGTAACTACCGGATCAGTATCATCTTTCAGAATGTGACGTAAAGTGCTAGAACTAAAATCATAGATTGCCAGACGACCAGAATTAGTACCAACGACGAACCACGGCTCTTTTCTTGGACAAAATTTCACGCATTCGATTGTCACCTCGGAAGCCTGATAACCAGTACATTCGCTTACATATAACCCAACAGTGTTTTCAGAATGGCAATATACCATTATTAAATAATGTAAAAATAGACAGAAAAGCTTTACCATATCTCCTTCAACCACTGTAAATATCCTTAATACTTTGGCGGTTTCTGTATTCACAAAGTAACAACATGCCATAAGATCTCCAAACATTGCCACAGGTGAACTATGATGAATATCCAGGCATGTAGCACTTCTAGCTCCCGTCATAATGCTAATCGACTTTCCATCTTTTAGAGACCATAATCTTGCAGAACCATCATCATAGCACGAAAGAAGTCGTTTTCCATCACTAAGCAGTTTAGCGTCAATAGATGTAGTAGGCGAATCAAGTATATACACCTGCATTTCAAATATAAATTATCAATCGATAATTATGATTATTCAAAGAAGTACGTTGCTATTTGACTACTGAAATGATAGACATGAAAATTATAAAAGCACAACCACTGCAGTTAAATGAATCGACATGAACAGTGTTATGAAGAAAAAGGAAATAATAAAAACCTTTGTTTGTCGAACAATGTCGGTCGTAACAAGCCACATCCAAATACCATTTTTACCACCGGCAAGTAAAATATCTGCAGATGAATGCCACTGTATCCACGACAACTCTTCACAATCGTCAATCTTAAAATTAAATGCTCATGCCATTCTAAAAGAGTTAGTAAACCGCAAAAACTTGAACTAAAGCAACAGGTAATCATGTAATTAAACAATCGAAGCTAAGAATCTTTTGCCGCAAAACGCAAAAGTTTCACCTGCATCTTTCCTATCCGTGAGCGACGATATATAATAGAAATTAACTGAAAGTCCTTTATTCTCAACCTTGGTCAAAAAATCATGCAAGAAAAAATATTTGCATTAATGCGCCTAAATTAGATGGAGCAATTAATACTCTATCTCTTGATTATAAAACATCAATAAACAGGAGAGATCTCTCAGCAATACCCACCGAGAAACACCTTCTTAGCTCCGTGGTACTGCTTACTACAATCAAACCGCTCATATCGCCAGTGGCCAACAAGTGGCCCTTCACACTAAACTGTGCACATATTACACTGTCTTTGTGTTCAGCAATCCTCAAAACCAGTTCCAAACCTTGCAAATAAAAATTATAAGAACAAAAATTAGAGAGAATTACATCAAAGTATGTTTAATAAACAATGCAAAATACATTAAGTGCACGGTGATGGGCTAAATCTAACTTTGTATTTCTATTTTTTTGTCACTCAAGGTTAAAAAAACAAAGTTTTCCCAATATTAATTTGATCATATGGTTAAGCGCAGATATCCTCTTCTACTAAGAGAAGTTAATCCTATAGAGAATGGAAGTAAAACTAAAGATGCCTGTAAAGACGGAAACTTTAATTCAAGATCCAAGAAATTCATCAATCCGATAATGTAAGATTTACTCTGCATACTGAACAAAACGGCTTGGTCATCTTTTCCACCAATAGCAAGCCACTGATTTTGAAAACATACAACAATGAAAGCTTCATCTCTGCATGCCGAAATTATACTATCAGCTTCCGTGATAGCATTTGGAAAGTCTCCACTGCCGTCCATTTCTTCATCATTACCCACGGCTAATTCCATATCATCATCTGAATCTCTTTTCAGTTGTAACAGTTCATCTCCTTTTTAAACTTTATTCTATCCTATATGTGGAAGATCTAAAAAGTAAGACATTGATTTAAGAAGTTGCTTAAATCAAAGTTAAAGCAAACACTATCCAGTACAGGAATTAATAGAGATGCATCCTTTCTGATATGAAGAAATAGGCCAATCTATCGTACCTTTGACTTCCGAAATATCACATGCCATATCGGATACTTCTGAAGAATTATTCATGTTATCGTACAGAGGAATAATGCGCACAATATCCTTCTCATTAAGCAATTCTTCATCTTCATCATTTATTTCTTCTTCCATCTCTATAATAATATAATGAATGATGACTATAACAACGGCAGCAACATACATCACATTTATCGTAAGTTGATTACCTTTCTCCTATAATTAGTAATGATATTTTTGCATTGTGTATGATGTCAACACTTCCGATTATATGTTACAGACAGACAACAACCCTCAACACAATCAACACGACATATGGAAACTGACAGTAGCGTCAGCACTAACGACACATCTTAAGTATCCTTGAACACGCTGTGCTGTCGTGAATTGAATGCATCGCCATGAAAATTAATAATCCCGCAGAGTTGTCTAACAAAAACCCGCCCCCTCCTTCCTTCACTATTGATTCAGTTTTAATGATTAGTAGTTGGTTCAATGCTGTCGATAAGTGCTTTGTAGAACTGATTCTAATTGAAGTTCAGGTTGGTAAATTAAATTCTTTTTAGATTTTCATTTATTTCAAAAAAATTATTTAACAAAAATTGTATCCTATTATTGGTAAGTGTATCTCTTCTCTATATTATGGTACTACGGATAATATCTATGAAGCAGGAAAAGGATATTTTTATGTGAGCATATTTTAGTGAGTTTTATGGATGATGTTTTAGGGGAGATTATCAGGAACTCTTAAGTAATTGGTCTTAAAATTTTGTGTGAGGATGGTCTTAAAATTTTATATGAGAAGTTCGTCGTTTAGATGGAAAATGTTATCTTTGTACAAACGGAAATGAATCATATTCATCCACAATGAGCGTAATATCCTGATTACATCAACATTTATCCGCGATTTTTAGAAGTTTCTCATTGAAGATTTAAAGTAATATTCAGTGGTTGTTGGATTAGAGAAGCAAATAGATTAACCATAAAAATCAGTCGATTATCCGGTTATATGGCTTAAGCTATAATTAACAGTGACATTTAATCCTGTTATTACTTTGTAAATACCATTTCTAAGTTCGGAAAGGATGTGTCACTTCACGACTCTCTCATACTTCTTCATCTTTACATGTTGATCAAACGAGGCGTTACTCGGGAAGCATTCCATATACTCCGTATTATCGTCTGATTCCACGTAACTACTCAATCAACTTGTAATCTAAAAGTGCTGCTTTTGAAGCGCGCTATGGATGAATGGAGAGGTACCTGTGGGTGTTTCTCTATCTGTCTCTTTCTCCAAATATCTGTTTAGATATACACTACACATACACACATACACGATAATAACATATACATATATAATACTTTAGTGTGTGGGTGTGGGTGTCTGTTTTCCAAGTGTGTGTATGCGCCAGTTTGTATGTGAGTGTGTGTGTGTGTGTGTATGTGTATGTGTAAGTGTGCCACTATGCTCAGGTGGAAAGCAGCAGAAAAAGGAGCGCAACAACGACAACGACCACCAAGCGACCGACCGATCGACCGAACAGCCGACCGATTGACTGACCGACCGATCGACGAACAGCCGACCGACCGAACAGCCGACCGACTGACTGACTGACCGACCGATCGACCGAACGAACAAGCAACCATTGAGTGATCGACCAACTAACCGAACAACCGACCAACCAACCGATCAACCGAATGGCCTAAGTGAAATCAATACCGAAGACGGGGTTGGAGGAGAATGGTGCGGGTGGGTGCTGATCTTTACGGAAATATCACGTTGACCAGTGCTGATGATAGATACATCAGTTATTGTTATCTCTACCCTTTTATTGTTCCTGCCGGATGACGAGACGGTTGTTCGCAATGCGTCATTTATTCCGGTGTGTTTTCCTTACGAGCACGTTAACCTTATAGGCGATCGATTATATTCTGATTGATGGATGATCAAATGGACTGCCTCGTGAACTGCTTTCAACTCCTTATCCGATTATCCAAATGACACCTTTACCTGATATTCCATTGATCAAGTTTAGTGGGAAGATGGCATTTTAGTTTGCATAGAAATTACTGTAATGGAATCATCCCATGCTTATATGATTACAATGTTTGCAGTGGTTGATCACGTTATTTTGGACCGCTTTAACGTTGTGGTAACTGTCACATAATTTGTCGATATTTTATTTTCTGATGACATTGGTTGAATTGAAATGAACTTGATGCATTTCGACTGTTTGCTAAATAATGATCATCTTTTTGAGAAGTATATTCCTTAGTTAACGACATTTCTTTGTTTTTTTCCTTTCGGTATTTTATTTTGGATTGCAATGAAAAATCTCCGGCCGTTGCAAGCCAAATAAACAGAAGGATCATTCCGGATTTCGGGAAACAATTTCATGACTGAAGCAAATGCGGAAGGATTGTGGTGCAAGGTAACTCTGGGTTAACTTACATCAGGATGATTTTATACTAATGTGTTAACCTTTGAACTAAAACATTTGCCCAGTATAGCTGATTTTATCGTTGAATTGAGGATTGCTCCTCAAACTAATAGGTAAACACTGAGAATTACTGTAGTTTCAGAATTCAAGCATTTCAATTTGCTTTGTATGTCCTGTTCCATACATTCTCATTTGCCATCAGCCTATTTACTGTTGCCATCATTTAGTTGAAATTTTAATTTAAGCATTCTTTGAGAGAGAGATAGAAATGACCATTGAATATTTAAAGCTCATAAAATAAATGTACTTTAACATTGTTTGGAGAATAGAGTTGGAGATGAGGGAACTTCGGTGATCAATTTAAGGGGATTTTAGTTTAAGGAAAGAGAGGAAGTTGATTGGTTATGATACTGTTCTTTTTCAACAATTTCAGTAAATCTGCTGTATTCTGGACAATAGCGATGATTATAAGGGAACGTAAAGACGAGAGCATAAACGGAATGTAGGTTAGTAACTAGTATGTTTGATTTTCATTACAGCAATTAGTATGGTCTTCGTTTAATTTCATTTGGATTTTGTTAGCAATTTTCGAATTTTGTCTGAAATCAGGACTGTATGGGACATATAAAGTGTAAGTTATGGTCACGGTATGGATAATGTTTGCTTATTTTCATCGTTTTATGAAAATTTTATCAAACCGATTTTATAGAAATTTTATCAGTCCGGATGAAAACCATTTGACGAAGAAAGTGGTGCTCATGTCTACTATCTATATTGTCGTTGGACTATCAAACCGGTTTTCGATGAATTTTAGATCACCTGATTATAATGACCCTGCAAAATAAAGCTGCAAAAAATTATTTATGATGAACTTAACCACATGCACATGGTTCCATCTTCTCTAGTCTACAAGCAGGACTACTGTTAATTCTAGCATTGTTCTCAATAATATTTTTCTCTCCACAATTCTACGTCTTCAAAAGAAGCATTCAGAAATTCGGCACATGCTTATACATTCAAAGATTATGGAATACGATCTGCTAGATTGCAGAAGGACTTTATGTATTTTAGAAACTGTAGATTTTTGAATTTTATGGACGAAATTCGAAGTAGTCGTTATAAAATCTAATCTCTTTATTCAGGAAACTTTTTTTCAAATTAGAATTCCTTATTGTTTACTTATCTAATAATATTAAGAGGAACTTGAAGCTCATTTTTAGCAGAATGTTATCTGAATGTTAATTTATTCTGAAACTGCTGATGACAGCAGTCATTAAAATTGTCTAATCATTGTTTAGTAAATGATGATCGATTTTATCTCATCCGCGAAATAGTATTTAAAATTGATTTTTCTAATATAAATAATTTCTTGGTTGAATTGGTGTGTTTGCATCTTTGAAATTCGTTAAAATTCGGAATATGCTTTGGATTAGTTAACTGTTGAACATCGGTGGTTCTTGACTGCATTACAAGCTGCGTTTGGTTCAGACAAGTGAATTTTGATCAAAATTCAGCGAATCAATGTTTGAAACACTAGTTGAGAGAATGAGTATTTCAAGTTTTGGGACTTGATGCTGTATAGAACTAAGATTCTTTCCGTTATGCTTAAATCTTCCTTTGATCATTTTAAAGGTCGCCAGGCAAATCATTTTGTAATAATTTATGAAATAAAAGTGAGAAACCGTTTTAAAAAAAAGCTACAAAGACACGGATATTTTTGCATACATCTTGTCTGAAATCCAGAAATCGCGTATTGTTTGCGTTATACATACAGCTTTCGGTTTCATAATATTTTTTTTTGAATTTCAGGTCGATACACTTATATTACTAGCATTTATGGCTGCCGTATGTTCTTCCTGTCTTCAGTTTACTGATAATGGCACCGAATATCATTCGCTGTTATTATATTTCATACTATTTATTGGATATTTTTATAATCAATACGAAAAGGTGGATTATTTATGGATTTTATGCTGTATAACTGTAGCGAAAAATTGATTTGAATTCCTTGCTGTTATGAGTTCATCTTCGTGGAATCTCTGTTATATTGGCAACAGCTGGATCATGAGAATGATGAGTAAGTTTTTTTTTCCTAAATTATAAGCAGAACTGTGGTGCTATCCTGAGATGATTTAAATTACCACCCGTGGCTTCCCAGCTTTTTATACTTGATTTTATAGAATAATATAAATAGGGAGAGAGAGAGAGAGGGGTTTACTTTTGCTGAACATTTTTGCTGGTTTACTTTTTCTTTTCTGTGTTACAAATTGTCTGAGAAGATGCAGATTTATTTCTATTTCACTTTGGTTGGCTACTATTTGACCAGAAATTAAGGTCTCATAAAATCTGTTAATAAGTGCTGTAAGTGCTATATTTGTGCATTTGGAAATTATTATATAAATGTAAGATTCCAAACTTTCAGTGGCCTGACTTGGTCGATTAAAAAATTACCCATTCTGGTAGTGTTATTACGAATTATTCTTTTCCAAATTATAGTAATAGTTGTTAAATTGCTGATCTGATAGATAATATTTTGGATTTGACTGACTGTTCATGCACTGAGATTAAATGAACTACTTCCGCCTCTTTTTTTCTGATTTCATTTGTAGAATGGCATTTTAACTAATTCGAGCTTGCCTGTGAAAGTCACTTGCATTCGCAGCCCAGAAAGAACTATTTTCATTGTTTATTTTATTCCAGTCATTTTATTTAGCTATTTCATTCCGATTATTTAAGCTATTTTAACCCAATTTGTTTTAGAAATCTCTTATGTTAATTGTCCAGAATGACATCTTATAGCTCGTTTCTCAGCAAACCTTCAATTTCTTCAATTTCAAATACTCGCTTTAAAATATTAGAAATGAAGATACACATTTTTGATGCTAAATCACTCTTATGAAATGAGAGTGTTCTAATCTTTTTGCATGCGTTTGTTATCATGGTTTTTGTCGATCTTCAATACTTTGCAATAGAAAAGAGTTATGAAGACTTGGTTTTAGAGTAGTGATTAAAAGTCAAATTATACGGTCCCTTGAGCAAAGGAGCTTTCTGTATTCATTGACATATTTTGTGTCCTATTTTTATGTTCTCCTCTCTGCATGTCAGAGGTGCTCATTCTAAAATCTCGTAAACTATTTCGTTAACAATTCAAAGGAAATTTTTGCAATTATACGGTCCCTTTTTGAGTACTCCTAACGTCAGATGTGTGTATGCGTATGTGTGTATATGTGTCTGTGTGTGCACGTGGATGACTCATAGTTGCTCTCCGTCGTCATCATATATTTATTGTGCAGTGGAGGCGGTTGGGAGGGTGTGTGTATGTGTGTCGGTAGTCGCCCGTCGGTGAGTGAGCCAAGCGGGAGGTTGTATGGCGCGTCGTTCCCGGGGGAAGGGGGAATTGGCTGTGAGGATGCGAGGGACGGTCCCCCATTCTTGCCGGGGTTGAGTGTATAAACGGGATAGAAATTTGTTGAGGTTGGAGGAAGGGCCTTCGCGAGGTTATGTTTGTGCTATGAGGCGGACGAAGGCATTACTCCTTCTACCGTTGCTTCGTACACTATCATCAGAGGTCGTATAACGTGCTGCTTCCTCCACCAACCACATCGTCTATCTTCGAGCCATTGTATCCTCCCACGCACCCTCTGTCCACCATTCCTCTCGTAACCTGCTAAAGTCTCTCTGCAATCGATCGAGGTGGGTGCACCCGCCCTCCCACTCAATGTATAGAAGAGAGGTGTGCATTTCCCTATGTCTGTGTGTGTACATTCGATGGGTTGCGTCTCTCCGGGAGGGCGGTCCCATCCCGGACATTGCCGCAGCAGCAGCAGCTATAGATACACTCTCTGCGGTTACATTTTTGGCACACTCACACATACATACATACACACATACATATGCACACATACACACACATACGCATGCTGCAGCACATTGCAGCGAAGAGCCTGACATATCGTCAAATATTGAGCGTTTTGGTTATAGTTGTCGTAGTAGTTATATTTCTGCCGTTGAATTTATCTTGAGAGAGAAAAAAGGAAGTAAAATGGAAAGTTTAGAGAAGTCCCATTACCCGCCTTATCGCGGAGGATGCGCCCATTTGTGACATGCGTTGCTTAGGGGATAGGCATATTTGGCACTGTAGAGGACTTGGTGTTACGTTCTATTTTCACGATTCATGCTGTTGTGTTGTTATGTTGCCGGGAGGAATGATGTCGTTAGTTTGATTTCAGTTCGTTATAATAATAGGTTGAACGGTGCCCGAAGGTGTAGTAGTAGCAGCAGCTGCTGCTGTTGCTACCCACCTGATACACGGTTGCAAGCCGCCGAGGAAGTTTGTCTGAATTTATTGCATAAGAAAGCAGTAGCAACTGTATTTAACGGCGGTATCGGTCGCATTATATTCCGCTACCACTACTATTATTACAAGCAGCACCATTAATAGCAGTCCTACTTGGATTTGGATTAAACAGGCTAGAAGGAAAGCAGAAGCAGCAATAATACATAACATCGCAATAATGGCAACGACGAGTAAGCTGTCATTTCGGGCGAGAAATTTGGATGCGACGAAATCGATGCCTGTATACTGCGCTGATGAATTACCCGATCTGGCCGAATGTACACCGATCAATCGGGCGGTGGCACAAATGCCAACGGGTATGGAAAAAGATGAAGAAAATGTAGGTGCCCTCTTCCTCTCCCACATCAAACACTTCCATGCTACTTTATTGCTTCAAACGTTCGTCTGATTTTCTACCCGTTTTATACTATTTTTCCAGTGCGTTCGTTAGCTTGGTAGATGTCATACAAATGATTTCATATCCTCTTTTACCCTCTCCTCGATAAACGGCGATTTACTGCTTTATCCCTATCGAAGTTGACTGCCATAGTTGAAATTCCAAACGCATTTTTTACATGTTTCTATTTTACTCTCTGGCATTATTGTTTACATGATATCTAATAATTTCTTAACATCCCATGGGAGAACATGGGAAATTTTGAAATTTTTTGGTCGATGTTATCAACTGTTGTAACTGTAATTATCAGCTAGGAAATCATTCATCTGGTTTGAGGCATGTAACTGCCGTGCTAAAGATGATTTAAGGAATTCCAAGATATTCCATGGGTTCTTTTATTCGAGTAGAAATGTCAGTCATAATCTATGAAAGGCATAGTGGGTCAAACGGAAGATTTCACTTCTTGGAAGGTCCCACGTCTTGCATGTCACGGTTGTATTTGCTAGACTGAGCAACTAGTGTAGAATTATCAAGTTATTCATTTCAGGAATTTGTAAGGGTTAGTTTCTAATAACCTGTTGTTAGGATAAGGATTTCTTGAAGAGAGGTTGTTGTCACGAATTAGGTGATCCAAAGCATCGACAGGGCTGATGAGAATGGACTAAAATAGTTTCACAAAATGCTGTCAATATATGATAGTTGACCTCATTGATCAAACAGGCATCGAAGGAGTGAAAGGGAGGGGGAAGGAAGTGTTGGATTGCGCGGGATTTATGGCAAACTGCTATTGAAGGATTATGATACTCAATGTTAATCAGAATAGAGGAGTTGGAAGGAGTGAACATTAAATGTTTTCTAATGTAATACTGTCGATATCTTTTCTCAACTTCTTTCTGCTGATGTGAAATGTAACTTTAATACAGTCACTTTTTTCTGGTTTCGTTTTTTTTCCTTTTTTCCTGTCGCGGAAATTTTTATCGCTGAAAAACATGCAGGATGAATAGTATACATTTCAGCATTTTGAAAGTTTAGGGAACAGTTTTTTTCGAAGAATGATGTATTACATTGCTGACTACTAATTTAACTCATAGCTTCATTAATCTATAATGAATTTTTTTTATAAAGTGAAAGGGTTCTAAACTTTGCATGCTAATCCTTAACGATATCAACGAATGGCTTTTGTGGCAAATTCTTGTTTTTGAAGATTTTTCTGCAGAAGAAGCACTGTTAAATTAGCCGTTTTTAAACTGTTTAGAAGTTTTGTTACATTATGACGCGCGAGGACTTTTAATTTTTCTAATTTTGGGTCATTCTTAATAGCCTTTTAACGTTACATACTGTTACATTACAAGTGACTGTTTCATCTCTCGATTTCCCTCCAAAGTTGAGAAAATATGGAAATTGATGTCCTAGGTTATTCCGCACCAGTGATAGAGAGTGTAATAATATCATTTATAGGTTGTTTGTGCATGGGAGAAAAGCATCAATATTAGCAATGAGTAGCTTTTGTTGCTGTATGTCTTTTCTTGATCTGTTCCTTTGCTGTTTCTTACCGAATTACTCAAATCACCTTCGATTCTTTTATGTATAAGTGCATTGTAATGTGAAGGAACTTGAAGAAAAGGGGATTACGAGAGATCAAAGAGAAGGAGATAAGAACAAGAGAGGTAATTTATGATGAAGGGGACATGGACGCAAAGATATGTCGATTACAGAAATGGTTGTGTTTAGAGGTCAGCGATCATCTGATGCTGATGGTAATCAGTGAAATGCTGTAATAATGCAAGGACAATTGTAAAAGCCTGATATCAGCAGCAACAGTTATAGTATTGGAGGGAGGTCATAAAATATTTTATAGAACAATGAAGATATTATGCATTGTCGGTATATCATTTTCGATAACAAATTTATTAGGAAGAGAATGAGATTTAAGTTACAAGCTAGTAACTGGGTGAAAACTGGTACAGTGACACGCTGTGAGTACCGTCATTGAAGATTAGGAAAAAAACAGGTAGTGAGTGAGTCATATCTTCCATGAAGGGGAAGAGGACTTTGTTGAAAACGGCCAACCGTCAAAAAAGTCTGGTATTCTATATTTTATTTACTATTATTCCTGATACCTATACTTTATAAGGTAGGAAGTGTTTCGTTTTAGTTGGGCCAGTGGATTTAAACTGGCTCAAATAATGTGGGAAAATGTGATGTAGCTATGATTCTCTGATTTGTTAAATAGTATGTTTTTTGGTGGACTCCCAGTTGATATTATATGATTCAAAATTCGAATCTTTGCTAGTCAACATATATTTAGTTTTTGACTTACATAAGGGCCATGAAAAATTTGAGTTTTAAACTTTTGTGTTGAGTATGTAAAACACAGTGGAAACTAAACTAAGTTTTGTTTCTGATTCTCATTAATTTCTCATCGTGATGTGCAGTTTTTTTCCTCGGAAGTTCCCGTCCAATTTCATTTAGCGTCTGGTTTGCATAATCTTTTTTACCGGGTGAGCTATAATAGTTCTTTATTATAACAATTGAAATTTTTACTCTTTGGACCTGACGTTTTGCTGCGCTATTTGTTACACCAGCAGAATCCTATCCAAGAAAAAACCGGTCCTCTATTTTTCATTTTGTGCTGGTCCAAAATGAAACGTATTTTTGAACTGCAAATTTCGATACATCTTGAGGGTGTTTTTGTTTCATTTGTGTAGAGAGTGAATGGAAATTTTGTCCATTCTTCGAGATTTCTGGAATTTTTCTGTTTGTCTTTTTGTTTTGAAATTTTATTGCACATAATTTTTCCCATCAAATTGGATTCTGAATTTTGATGTTGTGAATTCTAGGAGTCTCATTTGCAAGAGGCGATCCTTGCGCAGCAGGCCAGTACGTCGGGTATTGCTGTAGAAAATCATGTCATACCAACGCCAAAAGTTTTCACTGTCGATCGCGGATATTATGATGCACTATATCCGGTACAACCAGCACCATCTATCAATCAACTCATCAAAGTACAAGGTACGAATGCTTCGGCTTTATGCCATTCCCTCTCTCCTTTTCTCTCTTTCGTGTATTTTTGTCAATCTCCCAAGTTGAAAAATTTAAATTTCAAGGTTTTTTCAAATTCTTAATCCGCTCTAGCACAGTCCACGCTCAATACTTCCCTATAGAAGAAAGTACATGCAAGCAAATAAGAATTCATTTTCTTTTTTCACAAATGCACTTTTACTATATGGGAAAAGCTTGAGAGGGAAATGGGTTTAAATCATACTATAATAGCGGGTTTCATGATCAGGCGGCGATTTGGAAACAATTCGTTTTTCGAAGAAAAAAATTAGTTGATTTTAAGATTTTCTTACACTTAAGGGAATTTCTTAATGGGGTAAGGGGGAAATAAATGATTATATATATTGGAAAATAGCAAATCGAAGTTTGTTCTATTTCCAAGTGACTAATCCAAATTTAGGACTAACCCAGATTTTCAAGTCTCCCTTTTAGGCTTTCATTAAATTTTTTGGAAGTTTCTGAGTATCATCACATTGGTATTTTAATTTGTGTTATACTCATCTTCATCCAAAATCCATATATTAAATCTGAGCAGACGAGGTAGGGGAACTCGGAAATCCTTTAATTTTTCTCATTATATATTTCTCATGATTCCTGTTTGATCGAAGATATCCGTTATGGTTAAGAAGTAACTTTATGAAAGAAAATAAATTTTCTAAAAGTATGACATCGCTTCTTTCGTGGTTTATTCCCCTTTACATAATATTTGAAAATTATTTCCTTTTTACGTAATATTGTTGTGGATTGTAATTGACGCGAAAACAGAACAAGCCAGATACTGAAGAGCTTGAACAGGCTCATTTAAACGGTAGAATGAATGGCTGTTCTTACACTGAACGAAGTGCTTATATAACTGTTAAATATGTTTAGTAAGATTTTGTCTGAATTATATTTAACTATATGATAAACAAGTTGTTTTATATTGCTTGCTAATAGGAAGATGAGACTGTTTGGCCTTATGTGTCGCTGTTGTCAGACACTCTCACAAACCGCATTTCTTATTGAACCGTATTATAAATCATTCTTGACACGCTCGACTTACGGATTTGTTAGTTGATAAATTTTCTTTATTGCATTCTTTCATAGAGGTTGTCTTGGTTATTAGAAGCAGAAATTTATCGTGAGATGGCAGAGATTTCTTTTAAATCTATTTGTCGCGTGGTCTATCGCTCTGAGAGGATGAGATTTTGTTTTCGACTGAAATACATAGAAAGATTTGAAGAAGCAGGTGAAAGCTTGTTTTCGGAAAATTATTGCTGTAGCCTTTAGGATTACTCTAGCTAGAGTTTGATTTGAGAAATGTGCACTAAGTGGCAGGTATTCAGAATAGCTGATGGACCACCTGTGTATATCCTGTTTTCTTTTCATGGCACTAATGTTGGTATGGTTGATTGTAGTGATTTTTAATGAATCACTATTGGGAAGACGAGCGACAAAAATGAATTTTGCTGTGGTGAAAAATTTTCCCATTTGTTCGTCCCATCTAGGCTCGAACCCAACTAGGTGAAAAAGATATAACTCAGATTAAGAAATTCTTTGCAAGACATGGTAGATAATGGAAGAGAAATTGTTACTTCATAAAATAAGGTGATTGTAAAAAATTCTGAAATAAATGTAAGTGCGACTTTTCCATTGATTGTTTTTCTCTTCAAATTTTAATCTTTTGAATTTTCACTTTTTTTATATATCGAAATTTAATCACCGTTGTACGTATACTATGTAAGACTTGCACATATTGTTTGATACGTGGCTTCGATCATTTTGATTTGATGAAAAAATTCGAAAATGTTTCATTATTTTCCGAAAGAAGAGTAAAGCTAAGAATGCTTTCTACTGTTATTGCTTTTTGTACATTGATTAGTTCACACTAGCTCGTATTGCTTACAGCTTCATTATCGCTTGGAAATGAGGAACCTGATTATGATATCGATAGTGAGGATGAGGCATGGTTGGCCGAACGTGGGGGACTTACTGCAGAGAGTGATTTCGAAAAGATGATGGAATTGCTAGAGGGTGCGAGCAGCGGTTTACAAATATGTCAACCTAATGAAGCGCGGTCATTGCTCAAGGATTTCGAAACAGATCTCGTTGATGATGTTTATGATTATTGGTTACAGAAGCGCAAGGCTAGTTTTTCTCGAGATATTAAAGTGAATGATTTGAAGGGTAGATTTTGCAACTTGCTTGTATTGTTTGTCAGTTACATGATACTTAAAAATTGGTATGGGCAATTGGAATGTATTCCAGGATGCAGCAGCATCGCGTAAGATTGCCTCATTGATTCCACGGGTAAAAACGGATGCACGTCGGGATGCATCGGGTTCGGATATTGCTTATGTTGCGTTCCGACGACGTTTGGAACGAATGCAGACCAGAAAAAACCGGAAGAACGATGAAGATTCGTATGAAAAGATATTGAAGCTTGGCCATGATCTCAGCAGAGTTGTTATCCTCTTCGATATGCTTAGGCGAAGGTAAATAAACTTCAGACTTTTTTTAGTTTCAATTTTTTAAAATTTCGTGATTTTTTATGCAACTTAAATATTATAAAGTTCAACTTTTCGATAATTTCAGGGAACACACCAAACAAACCGTCATAGGATTAGATGACAAAATATGCAAGTGTCGGTGGGCTGTTTGTGACTTCAGTTGTGTTCTTTACAATCATATACTGTCTAAAATGAAATTGGAGCGTAATACAACGGTGAGCCCTACCGAAGAATCGCAGGTTTGCATCTAGTGTTGGTAGGAATGGAATACCTTAGGTTGAATGATTAGTGGTTTGATAAGCACGGTTTCCTTCCAGATACTCGGTATGTACTGCGGGGTGTTACTGATTGTTTTTTTGATATAATTGTTTGGCTTTATTGTAATCTCTCCAGGAGAGTTGGGAGAGATTGTTATACTCAGTGGTCATTATCTTATATGTTTGATATTATTAATTTTCAGGATGAATTGCCAAGTAGTATGTCACCAACAAAAATTAAAGCACAGAAGCGAAAACGACATTCCAGAAGTCTGGCATCTGAACCGGATAAAGATTTAGTTAGTCGTGCATGGTTGAGAAGGAATGCAGAGGTAGGATCAGTATTGTCGAAAATGAGGGAGTAGTTCAGGGGCTCAGTTTTTGAATTTAAAATGACGTCGTAATATTAGGATCGCGATCTTTTTACATTAAACAGAATGTTTGAAAATTTCGTTAATGGTATGATCAACATCTACATACACATGCGCATAATTAAATAACATTCACAATTAATTAGAAGTTTAGTTATGGAATAAGCCAGCAATTGCTGCCAATGTATTGAATGCCGGAGCGTCGCCAAGCACGGTTTCAATGACTGATGCGGAACGTAACGCGGAAGCAGCATTGGATGGCCGATATACATTTAAGAGACGGCGTGGATGCATATATCGGTCGAGTTTGTTCTCGAATCCACCGAAAGGTAATGATTATAAATGTTTCGGTGCTTTTGTTGTGATTGCGTAGCGGCAAATTCGAATTTTAGTTTTAAATTTTAGTTTCAATTTTTTTTTTAATAATAGTTGTCATGATTGTCATTTTCATGTATTGTCTATCAAAAAAGTTTCAGTTCCAAGAGTTAGCCCTGCAGAACGTTTCTACCGCACGTTTATGCCATCTGCGAATGGTATACGTTGTATTGGTTACGCAAGACGGAGGATGGGGCGGGGTGGAAGGTTTGTGTATTTTTCAACAGTGAATGCCATTTATGAAATTTACATTTGATGATGGAGTCGTTCTGTTTCAATAGCATCTAGGATACATGTTTGATAAATGTAGTGCTTAAGTGATGTGATCAGATCATTAAAAGTTTTCTAGGATCATATTCGATCGAGTTCTGCTTTCTGCACCGTCAACGTCACAGTCTGCCCCAGATCCACCGTTTTCTTCAGTTATCGATACTACCAAGTCAGTTTTTTTCTTTAACATGTGATATTGCCTTTTTCGAAATATTAACGTGGGGATGTTTGACTGTGAATTCACTTTAAATTTTATGAGTATTTAAAATCATGAAGTGTTTGTAACTGAGCACTGTTGTTGATCGTATTTTGATATGTAGATGATTGCAGAAATTTTCCATATTATTTAGGAGTTATCAGTGCAAGCTGGTGGCTGTCGGTGATAATAAGGATGACAATGATTCATCGGATTCTGATGAGAATCGTAGGAACTGGGACGATGAAGATGAGCGAGAGTACAGAAGGCAGGAAGAGCTTTATGCAAGGCGGATTTTTGATATGTCCGATACTGGTTCCACGCAAAAACTTCAAAGTGGTGTAAGTACTCAAGCATTTCAAAGTTTATAAACATTACATTGAAAGTATTGAGTTCATATTGCTCAGCTATTTTGACTTTTAACTAAGACATTGGTTGAATTCATATTGATCGTATAATCGGCGCGTTTCGGCAACAAATCATTTTGTAGATGGGGCGAGATGGGACATCATCCCGGGGTACCGGTGAACAGGTAGTGGTGCTTGGTGAAGATAACAACGGGTCAGCTTCGGGTATTGGGCAGAGTATCATGTCAGTCAATGGTGTTCGTGAAACAGATCACTTACGAGTTGTCAAGTAAGTCTGTCTCTGTTTTTCACCTTTATTTGATAGGTTTTCTTTTGCTACTAACCAGAAATAAGAGTTATATTTTAAAGCTTGCAACAAAACGGACCACCGATGAATGTCAATGCAAGATCGGTCGGTGATTGCGGCCTACAACCCGTTTTGCTGACTGCATCTGTTGCTGGGAAAGTAGAGAAAGTGGCACCATTACCGAATGCATCATCTTTAAATTATCAAGTAAGTAGTAATCTTTGAAACTGTTATTTATCTTTCGCTGATGTCCTGTTATTTAGAAGGTGGGCTCAAAGTTAATTTAGCAAAGGAAAAAATGCTGAATGCGACGCAATTCATAGCATGTTAGTTTGGAATTTATGATCCGCTATAGATGGTTATAAATGGTTTAGGATCACAATTTTACTACATTTACCGTGGACATACTTTAGTAAATTATGGCCTTATCATTATAGATAGCAGAGGTACGGACGTCTTTGCTTTGTTGTTATTCCCTTCAAACACTGGGATACGTTAATCGTTATTTGAAAAAAAAAACTTGCAGCAAAAGCGGGTACACGATCATTCCTTACGCATTCCATCACAAATGTCGTTGTCATCCGAAACCAGCGAGTCATCCCCGGTTTTTTACGCGCATCTCCCGCCACCGCTGCCTCCAGCAACGAGGGTGCTGGCGGCGGGAGAGCAGACGATTCATCGTCCTCCTCGAACGTTTGAATTTGTCAACAATTCTGCTATGTTGAATCAAGCTCAAACATTGATTGTCACAACAACGCAACCACCAAGGCAGGATCATCTGGAACGACAAATTTTGGCTATACCGTCTCAAGAAGTTATCATTGGTGGACAAAATATTAGACCACGAGTAGGTTTGCGATCGACGTACAATTAGTTCACTAAATATTAGACCACGAATAGGCTTGCGATCGATGTATGATTTTCCTTTGTTTACCTGTTCTTCACTGACAGTAATGGGGTTTTTAGAATTTTTATTCGAATATATTTGGATTTGCTGGATATGTAGCTATATTTTATTCGTATTAAAGGCAAGTGGAAAACGACGATCGTTTGTTTCTTCAAGCGTTGCACAGTTGTCGTCGTCTCTTCCGCGATCGGAAACTAATCTGCAGCGCTTAAATACTAGTGGTCTTCATGCGGATATCGTAGCGCAAGCCACGCATTGTGTTGATACTAAACGGCTTGAACTTGCCATAAAAGGTTCCGGAGCACGCATTAAGGTTAGCGCAGTACTGGTCACTTGTTAATGGATTATGTAAAAATTTTTATGATTTGCTGGTAATTTGTTCAGATGAGTTAACGGCCATTAATCATTTACGAAGGAATTCAGATTTTATGTAAATGGAAGCAAGAATTTGCATTTTGTTAATCCATCCCAGAGAACAGAGAAAAATGTGTTCCATTAGTTTAGGCAACCTGAATTATAAGAAGTCCAGATCAAAGATGAAATTAGCGATGTTGAGTACTACACACTACATTGCGATGTCAAACTTAACTGTTTTATTGTAGCAAATCCAGGAAATTCTCCGTAAATTATTGGAAATTAATTTTGAGGGAGCAGAGTTTTAGAATTTTGAAATTTGCAAAAAGCCTTGGTATCGAGTCGAATAGTTTGATACTCCATTCATTATAGAATTTTTTTTATCCGGTCATTATGTGACTCATGTGAAACATTTTTTTACAGCCTTCTCCGATGATTGCGCATTCTCTTTTACAATCCTGTCCACCGGAAACAAAGACACTTCGAGATCTTTTGTTGGGTACCGGATTGTCAAGTACGAAAACTTTAAACAATACGGCGGTTATGCCAGCGGTTACCAGAACATATACTGCCCCGCAATATGTACCTGTTGTTGGCGATACTCATCGCTACGCACCATTCACTAATGCAACAACCACTTGTAAGTTTTTTTAAGTAAATTTCAAAAGTCGATTCCTTAAAACTTTTTCAGCTAAAGATAAATAATAAAATGGTGGCATATGAAGATAATAATAGAACGATGACTTTTGATTTGGGTTTTGATTATTTTATGTGTTCGTTATCTCGGGTGTAAGTAACAGCAGCATAATCAAATTGTTTTTTGCGTGAGATTGTCCTGGGTTTTTGTGTGCTGCCCAAAATTTAATTTGAGTCTTCTCACTGTATTTAAAATTCTTTAGGGAAAAAAATGAAAGTAGTAATTCGTGATTATTTTGAAGTTGGTTCGTTTTTGTTTTGCAGCTTATTACGTGCCGGTAACAGATGTTTCATCTCCAGGCAACGAGAGTATATTATCACCAACACCTCATGCCATGTCATCGGCAATACAGAGTCAATCAGTGCGGAATTATTTCGGAATGACTGAGCCGAAAATCCAAACACCTGTTGCAGTAGTGAGCAGTCGACCGTCTCTGAACGGAACTCAGGTTGATACAAGACGTTGGTTATTTAATATCTTTATGTTGTCTGTCAAATTTTTGTTTTTGAGTCTTGTTCATAAGCGACGGCTATGAAGCCATCAAATATTTAATGATTATTGAAATATTTTTGAATAAGATCATAGCTGGCGGTCTGTTCTGCTCGAGACCTGCTGAATATTTGAATCCGGGTTTCCCGACGCTTTTGTTGTTTGATCCGTCTTCATCCAGGTGTATGTTGGTCTGTAAAACATAACACCTCAGTAATAGACGATAAATTAAATGCATGTTGACTTGGCAGAGAACAACGTAATTTGTACTTGTTTCGAGTTAATCCGCGACATATTTTTTTAGCTTAGAAGTCCTTGCATTGTTTGAATCTCATTCACAATGCATATAGGGGAAAAGTATAAGGGAAACATATAAGGGAAACGTGCTCTTTCGTTAATATAATCTATCATTATAAGAACAGTTTGCAATTTTTCTGGATCTTCAGGTAGTAGTGGTGCAATAACCAAAACAAATGGTGGCAGTCGTGAGCGCGAAACCTTCATCAACTCTCCGCAAGTGGGGATTGAGTTGCAACCGCATCAGGCTAAATGCCGCATTGGTAGTGCTTCGTCTCCTTTAAATGCGATGTTATCTACCGAAAGACCCGCCGAGGAAAATGCTGTTAATCGAAGCGGAGGGAATTCAGCAGTTGCCGTTGCTACGACACCAACAGTTGTTGCGGAAAAAATGTATCCAGAACCAGCGGGGGCTGCAAAAAATACCTTGAGCAACAAAGTTACGAATAATCATCGTGATATTGCTGCATGTCATGGAATGGTCAATTATGTCATTAACTAATTTTCATGCTTTCGTGTTGATGAGTATTAAATTCATTGACTACCTGCATTTACCTCTTTTTCCTCAAGTTTGGATGGGATATTAGGTTCCAGGTGGGTTTTTGGCCGATCTTTAAAAACTCGGTTTTTGGGGTTAGAAGTTCTGTCGTCTTGTTGCAATGTTACAAAATATTTTTATTAAATTGCTTTTGCTTACACGATTGGTTTTCCAACTTTAGATATGATGATGCATTAGCTTTTAATTGCTAATTTTCAATTTCTCACGCAGTGTTTGTGAATTCAGTGACAGTAACCTCCAGATTTGTTAAGGTATCCTGTGAATAGAAAAATATGTTTTATGGAAGTGGGAAGATGATCATTTGGCATTGCAGGTAGATTATTAAATGATTTTTAAATGCAGGTATGATGCCGTGTTGTTCGTAAGATAAGAGTTAAAAGGGACTAAGATTAAAGCCTAAGGCTATTTTTCCAGAGTTTCTCCACAGTTTGCTGTGAGGAATAATTGCGTATATTTCTGAAAAAATGTTTCTTTGTACAAATAAAAAGAGAATGCACTATGTATATTTGCGCGATGCTTATGTCTGTAAAAATAGTGTCATAATTTGGTGTGAGTTGTTGGAAAAATTTATACAAAACTTTTTACTAACGATTTCTATGCTCTCTTGAAACACTGAAATGCACAAACGTGCAATACCGAAATAGCTTGGTGGTAATTTAAATCTAATTTCGATACTGGATTAGGTGTTGATTTTTTTCGATACTGCGTTAGGTGTTGGCTCTGATTTCCATTCATTTTTTGTTCCCCACTATGGCGATAGAAGGGATTTCATGTACGCTCAAATACGTGTATGTAATTTTCTTCATTAGTAAAAGGAAACAGTCATGAAGTTTGTGTATTGTAAATTCGTTTTCATGGATATGTATGTTTCCGACAGAACGCTCATTATTTGCTGCTGCGCTACTGTGAAATAGTTGGTAAAGTAAGGTTATATTTCAAACTTAAAGAGTCCAAATTTTTCGGAATTCTAGAAAACAAGGGATGATATGCTTGGAATTGTTGTAGCCCTATTCTGATATTTTGAAATCGAACTAGTTTGGCTATTTCACGGGGTGGTTCTTGTTCAATGTTAGCATATTTAAATATATTTTTCTACACTCATGTCAGTGGTCTCAGTGTTTTTCCTTGTTTTATTTTTTCTGATTTAAAGACTTCAGTGTATAGCAATTACCCTGTCCCATTCCATTCGTACAACTGCCGTTACAGTAAGTACCACAGCAACATTACGCCACGCTATGACAGCCAGCTTTCTCAATTCCACTACTTTTTGTGCAACAGTTTCTTTAGAAAAATTAAGAGAAACGCGAGAAATGTCACCACGTAACGGCTGTTTGCCACTAATTCATACTTCATCAAAGCACACAATTCGTACATTGTTCATTTTTCTTCTTTGTTTGTTTTCTTATTGCTTGAAAAGTTAAAAGAGTATATTTACAAAACACAAGAGAACTAGAAAAACGAACATGATTTTGGATAAATCTAAAAATAGGAAAATTATTTCTGAGCAGTCTAACAATGGGTCGGATTGCTTAATGACGGTCTTTTAGGTCTTTTAGCTTTTATTTCTAAAGACGGAAGGTCGGTAAGACTACTTGCTACCCAAATAGAGCTGAACTACCAGAAACATGCTGTGTAGTGAATGGAATATTTCATTATATTCATTCCTAATCAATTAGGGCCGGGCTTGGTTGGTATTGTTTAATGAAGCATCGTGCCGGTTAAATGCTGGGATAGAGTTCGCGGTTTCGAATTACTAGCAGATTATTCCCAGAGAATTTTTAACTATTAATGCTTCCACAAGAGATTTAAAGCAGGAAGAGAGAAATGGTAAGTATTGTAGTCGGTTTTGCTAAAATTGCACTGTGAATACAAGCAAGGTGAAGCAGCGGTCTTGTTCGTGTTATCCGACCTTTTTTGACTGAATATTGAGTTTGGGGTATTGACCTTTCTGGAGGGTTCGGGGGAGGGATAGTTGATGAGACTTTTGCATTTTGATAGAAATGAACATCTCGAATTGAGCTGGGTTTTAATCATGCTTTACCGGTGTTAACTTCTTGGAGAAGACACTTTAACAGTTGAAAATGTTTCTAAGATGCGATGTCAGGACGTCTGGATGAGACAACTACCAAGAAAGATATTGGAAGGAGCTTGCGACGTATATTAGCTGAATTTACGTATCCGCTGTTTATTGTTGATGATTCTCTTTCAGTAACTTAGAAGCAGTAAATATGATACGAATTGGGAATCACGTTGTCATCCAGAAAATGGGAGGTGAACATTTACGCGTGTGCAAGATATCACGAAAAACTAAAATTTTAATCGAAAAATTACGATTCGAAATTGACGGTGCCATTGATCAACCGTACGGATTGTTTGAGGTGATTCTATGATATAGTGCTGCTCGAATTATTTTATGAGTAGCTTTATGGATTTACAAAATTTTGAATAGTAATATTAGCCGTGATATTTTAAATTTACATGCATAAACTTCATCCGATCGTTGTAACAGAGCATGTTCGTTTGGCTTAATTCATACAGTTTAGGTTTCTGCTGGAAAGTTAACACGTGTCGAACCAGAAAGCATTACGGATATTGCTGCTACATTCGATTTTGGTATGATCCTGAAGGACATTTAGACCACTGTTGCATATTAGCTTTGAGTTTTATTGTCATCTGGTTTATCCTCTGGTTAGGTATAATTGAAGAAAGAAATGCATTTCCAGTTGGCTCGTGAATCATTTTTGGGATTCACATATGTCAGTCAGCTTGTCTCGAAGTCATGCTCTTTAAAAGGGCAGTGCATTGAATGACTTTCTGTTTTGCTATTTTGTTATTGCAATCTTTTTTGTCAAATTCCTTTTAAGTCTCTAATCCCTTATTAATCTAGTACATAGTGCTACTGTGTTGGTATAATAAGTTCTATAATATTTGCAGATACAGTTAGCACAAGTACATCGTCCAAGCTAAATGGTATTGGCAATGCACCAAACATACCGAAATCATCGTTAGAGGAAACAGATTACACAAATCCAGTACAAGCAAGGCAAAAAGTGACACAGGACGAAATAATCAAGATGAAAGATACAGGCGTACCAGCGGAGCAGTTGGTAATGTTAGTGCATTATTGAATATTTGGTCGAAAACAGAAGTTTGGATAAGACAGCTGATGTGCATTTTGAATATAAGGCTTTATTCAAATCACACACTCATTTATCAGCATAAGTTCTAAGAAATCGCTAGCAACAAGTTGTTCTAATTAATTTTGCAAGAATAGGCAAATAAAAGGATATTCTGATCTTAAATTGCCTTTCATATGTTAAAACCTAGGTGAATTTAAATCCTAGATCTGCTTTTTTATACAAAATTTCGATCCAAAAGCAATTTCTAAAGTTTTTGATAAGGGTAGAAAAATGAGTGACACTATTTATCATCGTCTTAATGGATGTTTCGAATGTAAAATAGTATTTATATAGTGTGTCCAACTTAAACTTTAACTTTTGGACTCTAATCTAATCTTTATTCCAAAGCTTTTCGATCTTAAGAAAAGAATTTATAGATAGCAAGATTGGTTGATGGTAGTGCATCATTTTCTGAGCGCACTGTTTACTCACAAAATAAATATATCAATAAGAAAGCGAAGAAACATTCATATCACGTTTATCTTTTGAAACCAACTTTACGTTTAGTCGCCGAATCTTACTATAAAAAAGATCCTGAAAGAGTTGCACATCTGAGGTATGATTTCATTTTGTTATAGGCAATAATAAATTGAAAAAGAAAATAACTATTGAAGAATGCTTTTTGTGTAGCCAAAGCTTCTTCATTATCAGTTAGTAATACCATTTTTGTTGCAAAAAGATTGTTATATATCAAAGTATAATAGCGGCATTACCATGCTTACATTATTTGTCAGTGGAATTGAGCATTAAATCAAGTTTAAAATAGTGATTAATATAAATTTCATTTCATTTTCAGAATCGATTTGTTATCTCATCTGTTGGCTCTTAGTGGTGTACACTATGGTTCACGTTGTGTTGTCTTCGAGCAGTGTTTGGGTTTATTAACGTCTGCAGTGATAACACGTTTGGGTGGATCAGGAGCCTGTATCCATCTGCATCGTGGAAATATAGCACAAGCAATTCCATGTGTTGATAGTATGGATTTTGATAAGGAGGTTTATTTTCGTCATATGTAGCTCTTGCAGCTTATTGCTAAGGATTTGGGATTTTTTCGGAAAAGTTTTTTACATTGGGTTTATTTTAGAATTTTCTCTTTTTTTGAGACTCAAGATATTTCAATACTTCAGATTAGTTCAGTATTTTTGCCGTTGTGTATATCCAGTTTATTGAAAGAGTCCATGGAGGAACCTGAAGAACCTATGAATTTTGTTGCAAAGCAGTTTATCACAGTGGAAGCATGTGATAATAAACAGGAAGAAGTAATGGGAATGGATGAAGGAAAACGTTTGTTCAAAAAAGGTGAAGGAGCAGCAAAGCAGTGGAAAGAAGACGACAAGGACATTGCAATTGTAGACGATAGTGGAGAGGTAAGTTTCTCTTTCAAGATTGTTTAACTTGAAACAAAAATATGAAATCTAAGTTTTTTTTAGGATTTATCTACGGTTGCTGATAGTTCGTTAGAAAGAAGAACAGAAAAACAACGCTTGCAGAGACAGGCGTGGCAGTTAATGCGAAGTGGTGAAATTGAAATATTATTCATTGCTAGTAAAAATATCAATCCGGTAGAAATTTTGGAAAAAACGTGGTCATTCTTGCGTCTGTCATCAACAGTTGTTATTTATTGTCCAATTGCTGAGGTAAATAAGTTTTTTTAGTAGCAGCTGGAAAATTGAGGAACTGGCACGGGTAGGCAGAGGAGTGATTTTTTCTCGAGATTACTTAACTTGAAACAGAAACTTGAGACTCAGGTATCTGTAGAATTTATCATGAGTTGCTGATAATTTACTGCACATCGATAAACTTATATTGACCACTTTTTATTTGGCTTTATCCATATTTATCATTCTGCAATTTGCCACTGGTTCACGTATTAACTGATCTCCGTTTTTGCAACCTTTCGGCCTCGCAAGCCATCTCCGATTTCTTTGATACGAATCATTCTTTTGATCACTGCTTTCTCTTTCAGCCATTATATTCCGCATATTACTGGTTAAAAGCAAAGCATGCGGTACAAGTGCACATTGTAGATGCTTTTTACCGTAGTCATCAGGTGATACAGGACCGCTCGCATCCGATTATGCAACAGTTCATCACCGGTGGTGTTATTCTTTCGGCAATCAAAGTAGAACAACGATGATCATCTTTTCGATTGAAATTTGATTTCTGCGCTGGATTTTACCAAATTTTGTTGTCAACTTTAAGGCATAATTTCAGAATCACCTTTTAAAATTGCTTCAGTCTGTTTAACGTCCTCCAGTTCGGTAAAGTTTATTTAACTACCAGCAACAAATCTAAAAAAAGATTATGTTTAATTCAGTGTTTTATGCTCGACGTTAAACGTATTAAAATGAATTTGTTGACAAGTGAAACAGTTTCATAAACGAAAATGATCAAAATGATCAGAATCGTGAAGAAATCTCTTGTGTAAGGCCTCAGGATCGATCGAAAGCTTTAATATTCACTTACAGATGTATCGCGTTACCACCATTCGTGGTCAATTTACCAAAATTTTGTCATAGATTTCTTTTGCTTTACGGTTAGCCAAATTATATATAAAACATATATCTCTTTTTTAACTTATGCGGTAAATAAGCTTTATTCCACAAATGGAATAATGCATGAAGCCCTCTGAAGTCATTTTAAAGTTAGTAGATTGTTCTTGAAAAGAAAAAAAAAACCAAATTCCGTCCTTTTTTTCTATTTGATCTTCCGATGTGACATTTTTTTCCGAGATTATGATTAAAAAGTGGAGTTTTCAGAAACTATGTTAGGTTAATGAACAGAGCTGAAATTGATTTGCTTAGAAACATTACTTTTGCGAAATCATTTCCTTAATCGCATAGATGATTGAGGCGAATGCTGTGTGAGATGAGTTTAATTAATGAAGGAGCAATATCGAATCTTTCCTTTCCCTTTCTTTGTCATCAATTGTTCAGACGACGTGCCGCTCGAATTAATGGTGAAGTAGTTGTTGCTGAAGTGTATTGATGAACTGTGAAAATCATTTGCTTGGTAGTCAGTCAGTCCATCAATTTATGCATTTTCGATTTTCATCTTTTGACAAGTTTATTGCTGATTTAAATAGTCCAAGCTTCTTTGTATAGGAGCAGGAGATCAATGTTAAATCATGTTAAGATTTGGACCTCAAAGTAATTTAAATTTGGGAAGGAAATTACCATTTTTAATACTGATTGAATAAAGAGTGAATTTCCTAGTATCTTTTCTTCTCAAAACACAATCAAATTTTGCTTTAAATCAGTGATTTGAAAGAATTGAAGTGAGAAACACGGATAGAATAATTTGTTGGTTCTTTTTTCACCAACGGTGCCAGGACGTACCGGTACGTATTTTTATGGACCTTGGGTCAAGCGAGTTTGTCAGGTACCGGGTGTTTGCCACATAAGATGGGAATAACTGAAGTGGAAATTAAAGCATAAAGTGAAGTGCATTTTCCCATTTCAAGTGAAAAAGTTGACCATTCATTTTCAGAAGTGCAATTCCACTTCTCAAACGGGAACGGCGACGACACCAGTCGACGCTATTCCTTTTGGGAAACCCACATGCCTCATGCTGGGATCGAACCAGCGGCCTTCTGTTTACAAGACAGACGCTCTACCACTGAGCTAATGAGGCGCTGAACACAAATCTGATCATGCTGTATATGAAGACAATTTCAGCGATTAAATTGTATACATTTGGAAATGTTTTGAAAAAAAGAAATAATGAATGGAATAGCTGGCGGAAAGGCTAAGATGCAAAAGTACCGTTCTTCCTACTCATCACAAGTAAAGTGCACATCAGTAAGAAGCAAGCTGACAAGTGTCAATTTGAATTAAAAAAAGACTTCCCAGTAATTTTATTAAGTAATAATAGTATTTCTTCCCATATACTTCGCTTCATTTTGTTATTTATTATTTGGTGCACGTCATGCTTATTTGTTTATGTAACTTATTACGCGAACTATTTTCATTGTTAAGCTTAATGGCGTCTGTATGTTCCAGTGCTGCTCTTAAAGAGTAATTTAGGACAATGAATTTAAAATGTGCACAATAATACCAATTTCGTTGCCATATTCTTTTCCTTATTCACCCTCTCTCCATTTCTCAAATTATTACTTCGCTGTCAATGACTACACATCAATTAACGCATAATAAATTGGAAGTCAAACCATCAAATTCTTACTATTTTCTAAAAATGTACTTTTAATTTACCCATCAGCTGTTGATGATAATAATTCATTACAATGCTCGCTGTTTCCTCAATTTTTTGGAGTTGTAAATCTTACTGATTAGGCTCATAGAATCGAATTCAAGATTTAATTTTTGATGAGGCGGCTACAATGTTACTTACAGTAATGTCTAGCACTTTAGGAGAAAAATACTAGACTATTACGGAACTTTTAGTTCACGAAAGTTGGAGTTCAGTTCAGTAGCGACACAAATTGTGAGAAAAAAATTGTCATATGGAATTAATGAGTTTATTGTATGAGATTTTCTATCCTGCCGATAAAAATTGAAAAAAAAAATAATAGCGGTAGATAAGGACGCATTAATTAATCTATGCCATCACGGCAAAGTACCTCTTGATCGCAACTTTTCACGAAACATATATTTATAAAGTGTTTGTAAAACGGGGGATCGATCCCAGGATCTCGCATCCTAAACGAGAATCATACCACTAGATCACTGAGCCTGTCGCTACACTCAGAAAGCTCATTTAAGCATGAATTCTTGAAATTAATATTAAAATTTTGACGAATCCCAAGCAGTGCAGGCAACATGGACAATAAGAATTCACCCAATACTTCCTTTTCTGTATACTATCTTTTCTTATGGAACATATCAGCAAAAAAGTCACTTTTATATCATAAAGAACAGGAGAAACAGAAAAACGGATCGAAATATGATTAATAAATTATTGTTTTTACAATCAATGATTAATCTTAATTGTCTAATTGCGTTCATATCATCAACCCATTTACTCAACTTTTTCCGAAAACTGTTTCTTTAAATTACCTTCAATAGAACGAGTGAAATGAAGTGAATGTTTAATGACTGCTGTTGTGATCATCTCTGGAAATCATGGTGTTTGATTGCAGCTAGATTACACAAGAGATGTACGGATTAGAGTAGTACTGGTAGTCATGGTTTTTATTTAATGCCATACTTCCTAATTTTTGGACCAAAATAATTCTGTTGCTCTTGTTGAATTTTATCTCGAAATTATAAAAATAATTATAAAAATACTATGACCATCGGGCACTGTATGAAGATAGGGCAAAAGCAAAGAATTTCCTCATATTTTAAAATATCACATTTTCAAACTATTCAAAGTTGGATTTTCATTTCCTAAAATTCCACTTCGCATTGAACAACAACACTTCGACAATATTTGTTCCGAAGGCTCAAAATAATGTGTGATTACATTATTGAATTTCTTACAGAAATTATAAGAATCACTGTTATTCAAATATCCATCAGTTACTGCTTTATTCCACTGCACATCCCACTGAGTATCGCTTCATGAATGTATCGCACATCGCTACTGGTCAATGTAGCTACAGCTGCATCTATCTATCCATCTTGATCATCGATACCAGCATTCACCAATGCAAATTCCATCTTTTGTTGCTCGAAATCCAATTGCTCGAGCAATTTCTGAAGTGCAACAAAGACAATTTGTTGATTACACCACATTTTCTTTCAAGAATTTACTAAAAAAACAAGTTTTCCAAAGTGTATTGTTCAATACCTGCTCTTTCATAAAGAATACCGAAAAAAACGAATACATCTTCCTTTTATCGTCACCATACATTCACCACCACAAACTAGAGCAATTTGATCTCAAATACTAATTTATCAAATCGGGAATTTTTTGAATTAAACCCAACATTTCTTCAGTTCAGTTAAGCAAAAATTTCCCTGAAGATTTCCCTGAAGCTTTTTAGTGCACTAATATAAATAGTAATCACCTCTAGATGGTACTAAATTATTTGTTGATGTGACATTCGCAGACTGCAATGCCTGATGAATCGCTTTCCTGCTATCACTACACTAGTAACGAAATCCAAATGAATTAGCATCTTTTGCCACAACACTGCTCAACAAATGACACTGTTAATCATTTTTTCTTAATAACTTATCGACATCTAATAGTGCGATTTCATTGTTTGAAATAATCGTATCCTAAAAAGAATATAATTTAAACGTTGTTAAAAATTGATGTTAGAAATTTCTTTTTTAAGTTTCGTCATTTTAAACGCGGCACCAACAAGTTGTCTGAAATGTATTATTAAATACTTTCTCATTCATAAAGAATACGGAAAAAGAGCAACGAATACTTGTTAGTATCTCCTTTCAGGAGTTTACCGAACCATGCATCTAATTTGATATTAAACCTAGAGAAATAACCCATCCAACTGAGACTTACGTTACGCACTGGTATGGTCTGCAGCGTCAACATCGACTTGAAAAGTGTGAATACAAAAACCCCATAATTCATTTTTCTGTAAATGAATATAGATATATGCTAGATTTAATAATTAGAAAATGTAGATTCAAAAAATGTGGCACTTGCTCTTTTAATAAACAGCATATTTACATCGAAAAACAAATCAGAGGCGAGTAATAAATGTGAAAGAAACTGTCCTATTGAGATTACTATCATCTACGAACTAAATTATCCCAAGGACTAATTCCTTCAGCCACTCTGTTTATTGTACACGCAATTTCCCGATAAGTTATATTATTCGAATTGCATAAGTAAAAATAGAACATACTGCAAAGAGAGTCAGAAATGGATATGTACTGAGTGAGATAAAAATACAACAACGCTTGGGGAGCAAGTTAACTTTCAAAATTTGTAAACAGTAACATGAAGATTTTGTGATTGATGAGACAACAAAAATCAACACTGAAATGAAATATGAGTGCATTAGAGCAAAAATTGAAGAGAAGAAAAATTTTCGAATATTGATTTTCGTCACTATAAGGATTGAACTGGATTAACTGCCAGTAATTCTTTCCTGTCAAATTCGAAATTTTAGCAGAAGATAATGAAAAAGGAACGAAAAAGTGATAGAGGGAAATTGAGAACATAGTCTTCTCAAAAAGTGAGATTCAAGAAAAAGTTGGGAAGTTGAATTTAACGGACCATCCACTCAGCAGGGCTGTTGCGGATGGTGGGATTTCAAAGTTTTCCTTGGGACACACTTCGCAGTTGGATGGGATGGTCTGAGATGTTTCTATTCAGTCGGGGTCTCCTTGATATGCTCTTGTGACCATGTGGTATGGATAATCTGGGCGGTTAGAGTTTCGGATTTCTTTAATTATTTGTTATCGTTCGTTAGTTGCTAGACTATCTAAACTGCACGATGCGGTTTTCAGAATTGTGTGGTGTAGATATCTGGCAAACCCTGGGAACGTTAGATTGAGGCAAAGGCTTTTCTTTAGGCTTAACTAAAAGTAGCTGCCAGATATGACAGGCTGGTCAGAAAGACAAACGGGAAGACACACGATTGTCAACTATTAAAGTATTATGTAGATTGATTTCAATGGAATAGGATGCAAATAATTGGAATTCTTTTAACATGACTTATGTAAACTATTGCTTCACCCAAGTCACCTGTATTATACATTTGATTTCAGCTTTAAAGTGGCTTACATTACTTGGAATTCAGTTGTGGAAGCTTTAGTCGGATTTGATCTGGGAAATGTCGAAAAGCAGTGATCAGATTGTGCTAGAAAGACGACTCAAACCGATATATGGTATGCTTGATTTATAATATTAGAAGTGATATGGTCATATGTAAATTTTTCGAAATAATTTTTTTAATTTCGAAAATTATGATAAAATTTATTTGTTTCAATAAATCCATATTTCATAGAATGTAGTCGTTTTACTATTTTTTTTGAATAAAAATAAGAATGTGCACGATTCAGATGCAATTGATGCAGGCAGCAACAAAAAAGCAATGCAGGAAGCGGACAAAGTCTTGAAGAAACACCCCACCACACATTGTGCTAAGGTATTGATTGTTTAATAAATTGATTGAGTGGTTGGTTCATTGGAATCATTCAAACTTAATGTTTGCATCAGGACAAAAAACTTGCTGTGAGTTAGAAGCATAAATGTAATAAGGTGAAATGTCAGATAGAAGCTAGCAATTCAAACTGACTTATTCATCATACGATAGCACTGATGATTATTTCACTACTGGTGATTATTTCAGAAAGTATGGTTATTTCGCAGTTTTGAAATATTTCCTTCTTACTTTATTTTTCTAACCAAACAAAAATTTGTGCAGAAAACTAATGTGAAATTGTTTTTATGCATTATGTTGGTTTTTCCAAATATAATTTTTTTGAGGTTTTGAAAGCACTGGCTTTGATTCGTGCCGATCGTATAAGTGAAGCATGGCCATTGATTGACGAAGTTGAATCAGTAAAAGATGATTTTGATGAAAATACTCTCCAAGCTTTATGTCATTGTTTCAAGGTTTTAGCTAAACTTATTTCTTGTCACCATTGTCATAAGCTACTTTTAACATTCTCTAATTGAAGTTAGGAAAGGATATTTTATGTTAAAATAGTTTCATCTTTCGCTTCAAAATACTTTTTTGTGTTTTTGATCACCTTCAAGTTTCAGGAAGCTTATGCACCTGAAAGAATATCTGTATTATACGAAAAGATCTGTGCTCGTTATCCCAAGAATGAGCAGTATTTGACTCATTTATTTATGAGTTATGTTCGTGTGCGAAATTACAAGCAGCAACAAAAGACAGCTTTGGCATTGTACAAGGAATTTCAACGAAATCCATATTATTTCTGGAATGTTATGAGCATTGTCATGCAGGTCAATTATTTTTCAACTTTATTACTTTACTATTAAGAGCAGCTGTTTATTAATTGACAGGTATGTTTTATATTATCTGTCTAATCGTAATTTAAGTCAAGTTTGCTTGATAATTGAAGTTAGGATTTCTCAATGTTTTGCATTCAAAAAATTGGTATCTATTAATTAATCTTGCTTGTTTAGAATTAGGAACCACCTCAAAATAATTTATTTTCCAGTGATTTACAATCCCTGCTTTTCGAGTGAAGCTTTAATAATAATTGCAGGCAATTACGGGGGATCAGAATCTGGCTCAGTCAACGCTATATCCATTAGCTGAAAAAATGGTTACAAAAATGATCGAGTCCAATTTAATACAAGCTGAGGCTGGTTTGTATTGCGTCGTTTTTAATGTTGGGACTTTTTTCTTAAGATCATAAGGTTGAAATGGCGTAATTTGAATTGTGCTTAATCATTTGTTGACTTTTTCGAACTTGAGACGGCGATATGAATTCAAAAGAGATTTTATTCCCTAAAATTTCAGAATGTGATTTATATGTGCTTATCCTAGAAAATTCAGGACAGTATTTGAAAGCTGCACTCTTTCTTGAAGGTATATATATATATATATAATTTTCTTGAATGTATATACTATAAACACATGTATTTGGGAGTGTACATATATTTTTTATTTGTTTATATGTCCATTTATTTGGTTATTTGTTTAAATGTTGCTGAAATTTTAAACCAAATATGTGGTAGGAGTAAAATAAACTGCTTGTATGTTGGGCACAAAATCCTCTTTTCGAGGAATTTTTCTATCAAATTTCAAAAGTAGTTAATTATGGCGATAAAAATTAATTCATTAACTTCTTTAATTTTCGAAATGTAATGCATTTTAGCGGATAGTTTGGCACGTCGACATATGAAACATCCTGCTCAGTTTTTGTTCTGCAATATTTTAAGATTATATCAACTTCAAGGCGATCATGGGACCGTTATTGATCGCAGTATCAATGAATTGAAGAATAAGTTAGTTTCATTTCTGAAAAAAGGTTTTTTTAAAACAGTTTCCGAAAATTCTCGCTACAGACCTTTTCTATCAGAGATGTACATATTTGATTTGCAGTCCCGATGATTGGTCACTGTGGACGTTTTTATTTGATTCAACATTTGCATCTGTGAAGTGTATTGAAGAGGAGGCAAAAAAAAGGTGCGAGAGATGACTGTCAAACTACGCTTTCCAAAATCGAGAACATTTAAACATTGGAATTCGCTTTTCTGATTATTAAAGTTCAGGAAGTATTTCAGTTGATAATTAGATTCTGTTCAAGTTAATTAAAGTAGAATATATTTTTCAGATTACTCGATAGAGTTGTCGAACGAATTTTGTCATTAGTGGCCGAACCATTAAATGAAGTACTGTTACGTGGACCGTACCTTGCACGTCTAACATTGGTCAGAAAGTTGTTGGAAAGTGAAGTTGAAGCAAGCAGTCTATTGGAGACGCTTAAACTTCGTAAGTTACTTGTGCATGAAAGGCTAAAATCTCATAAGTAATTCAGTTTTATGAACAATTTTTACGAACTTATCAAAACTCTAATTGAAGATATTTTGATGATTTCGAAAATTCTTTGACCATATTTTTCATAAGAGAAACTTACAGGTGATCCTCATGAGTATTTGTTTGAGTATATTCGTTTGTTCCACAGTAAACCATGCTGTTATGTTGATTTGAAGCCCTTTCTCTTCCTTATAAAGGATGACCAAGTTGAAAATTTTATGCAAAGAGTTTCGGATTTTATCACCATGTTGAAAGAAGGGCATAATCAGGAGAAAGGGAAAGTAAGTCATTTTGTAACATTATTAGATTTGTTTTTGTTTCTTAATTTTATTCAGTTTAGTTTATGCAGCAGTTAATTAAAAGAAAGATGTTGAGAAAGTGCCAAATTCAGATTTTTTGTTTTACAGACCACAAATGTACATTGGGCTGACATTGTATATCAGCGTTTACAGCAGGGGTTAGGACTTCATAAGAAGTTATCAGCAGTTGAAAAAAGACAGGCTGTCACTTATATGGTCAAAATGATTGATTGCTGTTCGGATTCTGATCTTGCCGCAGCTGTGTATGCTCATCTTGCTGCAAATTTGCTGTGGGACTTATATGCTGATAACGGTATGTTCATTCATGTTTGGGTTTCAAATGAAAAGTCGCTACATCTTTGCCGTTTGAAGCAGATAAGTAAAGCCAAAGCATTTCGAATATGAAAAGACTTTTTTTTAATAATCTTTTACGTAGCAATAGGATGAAATTAGAAATCATGTATATTGCTAGCAACTGAGCTGCTTCAGCATATGTAAAGTAATGAAATTTCGTAATTTAATCATAGAATTTGAGTGCTAATATCTGCTATCTCCAGTTACCGTATTTATTATTCTGATTTTGGTAATCGTGTCTCTATTCACTGTTTTACATTGTATTGTGGACATAAAATAAGAAAAAAAATTCACGTATTCTTGAATATAATAACTAAGTGCAATGAAATACCTTAAACAGTATCATTGTGTCAAAGAATCGTTGATGAGAGCTTTCATCGAATTTAATTTCCAGTTTTTTTTAGTTACTATTACATAATTTAGGAGATGCTGACGCATTATATGAGTTGATATTGCTACTGGAATGGGTTGTAAAAAATCATCCATCAGATCCAATCAGTGCTATTATTTTATGTAAAGCTTATTCATCTATTGGTGTTACAACCCAAGTGCAAAGGTTTATGCGTGCTTTGGACATAAAGTATATTCAAAGAGATACGTTAGGTTAATAATTTTATTTTACTTTCTGAAATAAGGGATCCCTTTTTAATTTTCTTCTTATTGATGAGAGCTTTCATCGAATTTAATTTCCAGTTTTCTTTAGTTACTATTGCATAATAAGTACTACAGACTTTCCCAAAAAATAAAAATCCGGGATAAAGACAAATGAAAGCGCCGTTAGTGAAAAAAAAAACTACTTTTAAACACAAGAAGACTGAAATTATAATCACCATCTAATTTGATCATGTTGTATTACAGGTTATCTCATTTATGGTCTTCTGGAGCAGTATGGTAAGTTTAGTAGTGCTATAATTCATTATACGGAACTTGCTGCTTTCTTCGATCAAACAGAAAAAGAGGTTTGCTTTATGACTAGGATTTTTTGTGAAGCTTGGTATCTTAATTAAATTTTTGGATGCTATGCACAACTCTTTGAATTTTTAGAAATTGCCATAATCTTGATCGAGCAATTAGGAATTACTGAAGTGTCTTTTACTTGAAGTTTCATTTCCTTCATGTTGGAGGGTCCTGATTATTTCATGGTTAACGCTTTTCAGTGATTTTTTTTTCTTTGATTGTAGGTATCGGAATGTTTAACTACTGCTTACAAAAATGGGAGTTTTTTACAAGTGCCGCGATTAGTTGAATTCCTGAATAAAATCAGCAAATCGTTCATTGCTGTCGGTGTTGATATACAGACCCGAGCTTTGAGTGCATGTTTCGCAGTTGATAAAGTTGAGCTTATTGTTGACACTATGTATGGAGATGAAGAACCGATTGGTTAGTTTCAGGAATTGTTAGTTCCTTTAACAATGATTTTATAACGGAACACTTGCTTCCTGGATTGCTATCTCTCAGTAATTCTTTTATAAAAAAATATTGAGAACCAAGTTATTATGTTTTGAAGCTCAGATCTTTGCCCTAGATTACATTATGAGCTGAGTTAGGCACTTTTTGCCTGAGCCACACTTTTGCGTAAGTGTTGCGTTTATTAATGATTGAATAATTGACTGAAAATTATAGAAGGAAATATTTATGGAAAGTAGAGATGAAATATTGGGGAAAACCAATTGATAATAATTTGATAATAATTAAATAAATGATTATCCGTTTAATCACTGATAATTTTTTAGTGGTTATTGAAACATTTCAGATTTTCTTGGACTTGAAGATAATCGTGATTTTGGTATTATACCATCATTTGATGCTAACAGAGAGCAGCAGAAGCTTAACGAAATGAAGCAACGTACCTATCATGAGCAGGTCGAACTTTATTTTTTAAAACTGATTGAATTTCGAAAATTTTATAAAATTTATAGCACAATCTTCTAAATTTCAGTTTTTTTCTGAAATATAGATTGATGTTTTCCAGTGTGACGCAATGAAATTAAGCCATTTGCTAATGAAATCAGTAGCAGCTGTAGGTCATTCCAAATGTACTTTAAAGAATTTGTCCATTTATGTGGGTCAACTTAAGAAGCATATCGAGCATTGCAGGCAAACATATAAGGAGGGTGAATCTTTGGTAAGATTGTTTAAAACTTTTTGATAAATTCGGTTCTGGTCTTTATGATTTACAGTATTTTTACTTTAAGTTTATAATGTTTTGCACTTTCTTTACAACATTTCCGTCCCTTCTTTAAAGAAAGACCTTAGCAGATATTATCGCAGATATTAGCGTTGTCCATTACATTTTTGTTACATATATCTAACTGAAATATGTTAACTTTATAATGTTAAAATATGGTGCGATTACTAATATTATCATGCTCTTAACTAATTAAGAAAACGTATTTTCAGCCCAATTTGTTACAATCTCCTCCACCATTACATTTAAGCGAATTAATAAATACGCCAAAAATGGATTTATTGATGCTTTTATTAAAATCAGCTTCAAGTGTAGTGGAATGTTCAGAACACGTCATCTCATCTAATGTTAGTGTTTTAGGAAGGCATATCAGTCTAATTAAATATTTCAGGTTTTTCTCCTCGTGGGCTTTAGATTAGTGTTTATGATTTGTCAGAATGAATTAACAATAATACTCTCTTGATTTGAGTAAAAATTAGAATTTGTGAAGATAATAAAGCGACTTTGGTCGAAAAGTTCAAGCGTAGAACTGCAATTGCCTTTCCTATTATAAGATATGTGGTCCATCATACCTTGTAATTGAACCTTTGTAATTTATGATGATAATAATTGATACCCGATACGTTTGAACAACAACTTAAGAATGAGTGTAAGTGAATATATATACATTTACTGCATTGAATTTGTTAGCCATATTTTTATCACCCAATTATTAAATTGTAGTTTCAACGAAACTTGTAATTGTTTCATTTTATAGTAAAAAACATATTTTTTCAAGATTATTGAGCATGTTCATGAGGAAAAATTGCTTCATTGTTTGCCGAGTGTTGCCGAAGTTGAAGAATTAGTTATTGGTAGGTTGAATTTTGAATTTCATTTTTTGCTTACTTTGAAGGTTGATCCAAGCTAACCGTTAATTTGGTGTAATTCTTAGTGATTTTGCATAGACTAAGGACCAAAAATTGCTCTTTTTGTTCTCATGAGTAAGAAAAGTGAAATACGAAGATTTTAAACTTAAAATTAGTTATGCTTAACGATTTCTTTGCTGCTTCGGCTAGACATTCCAATATATCCCTAGACATTGTAATGTAACTGTCATTTAGTATTAACTTACTATTAGCTGAAAAATTCCAAGTTTCACCATTTGGGTTTATACTAATGCGGAAAATTTTGTCAACGATTCAACTTCATAATGACAATTGAACTCTTTCTTCCAGCTGTCGCTGCTTCAAATGTTGCTACGGGTGCACTTTGTTTCCATTTGACATTACGGCACTGCAGCATGGTGCTACAAATTCTTTCATTTGCGCAGTTAATTGTTAAATTATTGGAAATGGTTCTGGATAATATTTTTGCATTTTTACTTAGTCAGGGAACTAGAAAAGGTAATTTCTCAAAGGTTAGTTCCGTTTCATTAATAAGCGAGTGTTTTCTTTTTGACATAATTGTTTTGACATAATAATGGATTTTCTCCTGTGCTTTACGTAGTTTCACTATTCTTTTCCAGAATCAAAGGAAAAATATTGTACTACATAGGTTGCATCAAGTGCGGACAATGATTAATAAAGGTATCACATCGATAAATACTCAGTTATCTGATGTTCATAAACTGCTCAAAAATGATGATCTCATCCCAGAAATTAGTAATGATTATGACGAGGTAATACTTAAAGGAATTTTTATTTCGGTATGCCGCATACTGTTTCCAAATGTGGGAACTCATTTTCCATTTTCCAGATGTTTATTTAATTTTGCTTCATAAGTTGCACTTATTACACTGCGTTCCTCCCAGTTAAATTGCAGCGAAATTGTAGCAGACCATTGCATCGTGGCAGTAGGATGAAATTGAAGCCAAATTCATTTTTATTCGACTGCTTGTTTTATTATCCATGGTACTTGTGCTTCATTGAAATTACTCTTTTTAGGCAGCATACATTATATTACTCAAAGAGCAAGCCCAAGTCGACTCATCCATTGTTGCTTCATATATGGATTCCATTATGGATATGCAAAAAACCGTAAAACGCATGCTAAATCAGTCGCAAGCTTGATGTTTTAAATTAAATAACTGATTTTTTCTATTTGTAAATACTATGCTGTCCTGAAGTCATTTCCTTCTTTTGCTGTTGTTTAATAATGATTAATTCGTACTTCAATTTCTCACGTGTAATGGCATTACTTCATTTTTATATATGAAATCTAATTTAAACACTTTAACATTCGCCTCAAGTTATGGTAGATCCTTCGAGATAAGGGATAAAACGAAATGTCTTAGTCTTTAATTTAAAAGATGAGCCGGCGTAATTCAATTCCCAGAGAATCGGTTAAATCATTTTCGATGTTATCCTGCAACTAACATAGGGGCTTAACTGTTGAGTAGTGATCAATTTTTAAGGATTGTAGCGAAAAAACTTCGGTAGCATTATTCAGAGGCTTTTACTTTCCCAAAGTATGCTGCGTCATAAATTTATACACAAGTCCATCGCCAAATCTCAGTGCACCTGTACCTATTATCCAATGGTCTGCATTTCATCTTCGATATTCTAATTTGCTCGGGCACCACATTATAGATATATGAGATTTTAATGCTTTATCCTACAGTGTGTCTCTCTACGCCTAAGAAGAACCAGAAGACTTACAGACTTAAAGAATGAAAGCTTGGTTCAAATACTTCAGCGTTGTTTAAACTGTGCACACTAATAATAAGAAATAATTTAGCTCACTTAGTGTGAAAGTGCTCAGAATTGAGAGTATACGAATAGTTCGAGTTAAAAACTATTTTGAACCTAGCAATGTGCAACTATTTGGTGATAAATTTATCAGAAGCAAATATACAAGAACGAATGTATGTGCACGTAGCATCGATAGTTAGCTGTTTTGAGTCATATCGCGCATATTAGGTTTATAACGTATATTTTGCGCTTTTAATTCTTGAACTATATGAGATGGTAGACTACCGGATACCGAAACTGCATAGATCCCTTTCATCTAAAACAGTAGTTGGAATCTAAATTTCGAAAGACAAATAATTAACAATGTATAAAAATACTAGCCGAATTACTTCAATAAGCTTACTTTACGGTTGATTTTTTGCCATTTACATACCCAGGACTCGTCCGGCACCGTTGCAGCTATCATCCCATCAAAATTTGAGCTGTAATTGGATGTTTTGTTAGGTTAAAAAAATTTTGCAAGTTTTTGAAAAATCTAGATAGTACCACCCGGACAGTTTAGGATCCTTAATAGCATTAATTATAAAACGATTCACCTCGTGCATTCGCTAACTTTCTCCTCATCGCCCTTCATCCCCAAATATCTCTCGCAATTATCGCAACCATCCAATTCAAACTGTTCAACACTCTTTATCATTGAACATAGTAAGCAAGCCCGTAAATTACGCAAATCACGAGGTATGCTGTCCACAGACATCCTGAAGAGTACGACATTTAAATTGCGCGAAGCGCACCACTTGTTTAAAAAATTGCTCGATTCCTTCTCCACCTGCATTTGATTAAGCACCATTACCGCCATGTGTTAATCAATCTAAATTTAAGTATTTGAAGTTACTGAACTTCAAGGAGTCCTTATTGCCAATTTTATAAAGCTCACATAAAAAACTTCAAATTCCTTATTGTGCCTCTGTAGAAGTAATATGACAACAGATATCAAGCGGATGGAACACTAAAAATACTGCTATGTGAAAACTGTGAGATGTCACGATCTCGTTCTTACTTTATGCCAAATAAAGAAAAAAATCAGAAATAAACTGTTACCAACGACTTTACGGAAAGAAACCAACAAGAAAACGACCTTTCCTTTAGTACAAACATTCTTTTGAATATAAATATAAAATTAAAGTAAAAATTTGCTGCAACAGTCAAAAGGTATGGCAAAAAGTATCATTTGCGCAGCAAATTCAAGAAAAACAAGGAGATACATGGTGCTGTCAATTCCGCTATACCAACACAAAAAAAAATATGAAAATTAGTTCTTCACTGACAATACTTCAATTAATTGCAAGCGATGAACCTTAACTAAATTCCATCAATAGTTTTTAATCAACAGCTGCCTGACAACGTCCAGTAACATACGGGAAAAATGCAAAAAAGATCTTATGGGATTTATGCAATAAAAGAGCATAAGTCTGTTACTGCGAAAGAACAAAACAATTAATCAAAGATATAAGCTGAATGGTGATACAACAAATTAAATTTCCAACTATGATTTCCAGAAAAAAGATTTCCATTCAGATATTCAATTGGAATTTTGAAAATAAAATTTTAATCAAAAGTGGTTTAAAATTTAACAACATTTTCACTTGAATAATTTTTGGCTTAAGTTCAAAAAATATCTTCTGGTGCATCGAGATCTTTATATGTGACTGGTTCACGTGGGTCACGGCGACCACTTCCCGATGATTCCCAATACCGGGATGTTCCTCCACGATCATAGTTCCGGCCACCGTAGGAACTCCCATATCGTCCACCACTACTGCCACCTGTATTTCGCTCATAACCACCCCGACGATCACGTTCGCCGTACGATGAGTTGCCACCACCTCCACTTGTCCGACCTCGATCGCCCTCATAGTCTAAAAACGAACAGAATAAGAGAAGCACAAATTACCATTCCCACTCCTCACTTATGAAAAACGACGAATTAAAAAATTCTACTTGGCAGTATATCATAAGAAGCTCCCTCGCAAGAAGTCTGAAAATGAAATTTCCAGTTTTTATAAAATTTTTCTAAGTTTCAAAAGAACTACCACGTTCACGTTCTCGTCGCTCTTCTCGTGGTGGTGCTACTTGTGGAATCGCTTGAGCAGGTTTCACCTCCAAATTCTGCGGTCGTTTTGAATCAGTCAAATAATTGTTAAAATAAACTACCTGCAAAAAATTATTTATAAAAAATAAGTTCTGATTCTTAATGGATATCCGTGGCTATCAATCAACTCCAAAAAATGGATATCGCGTGGCATACAATATTAAGGAATATCTAAAGCAACAACAAAATCTAGAAAATGTTATTCACGAGTATTAATCGAAATCAATGAAACCTCTTGTCGAACTTGATCCAATTTCTCTCCATGTTTAGTTGTAAGATGCTTCCGTATAAATTCGGGTCCTTTAAATTTTTTTCCCGATAATGGACACAGCCATTTGTCTTTGGCTAATTCAACACAATTGGCTGTGATAAATGACTCCACTTCTCTTAAAATAGAATTTCTTAAAAAGGTTTTGGGCAGTTCAGGTTAAAAGTTTCAAACGAATAAAGCATGTATCGGCTGTATGTATCTGTTTAACATACAGTATTTAAACTTTTCAAGAATCGTTTCCTTAAAATCAACTCATGATTGCTGGATGTCTAAATACCTAAATTTTTTGAAAGAAAAAACCACGGAATTTCTTACTTTTCGGTATCTTTTCTACCCAAACTGTCCAGTTCCGATTCACTTAATAAAGTTTCACTCATCAAAGCTGTTTCTATTCGATTATTGAATCCGGCAATGAAATCAGAAACGAATTTTTGTGCAACCAATGTTCTACCGTTGTCATCAGTTCCCCACTGCGATACAGATGGTGGCGCTCCCCGAACATGCATCATTCCGCATCTAAAGATCAAGAAATCTAATAATGTCAAATAAAGATAACAAGATTATACAAATACAGACAAACTGCTCAATAAACTAAATCAACAATTCAGATGATTCTCAGAAAGTATTTTCCTTCTGATTCTTCCATCATTTACAGTTTCAATCCAAACTAAATAATCCTACTAAATTGCAAAATCTTCATCCAACGCAACACATGTATTACTGATATTTTCAAAAAAGAATAAAGATAAGTAAACCTATTTGGCATCACATCCTCATTTGGATATTCGCCATGATTATAAAAATCAATGGAATGTACGATGCGGAGATAAGTTATGATTCGATCAAGTCTTGCGATTAATGCATCATCGCGTTGAAATGGAACTTTTTGGTCCTCTTCAATGATATCTCCTGCAATCAAATATTTCCCTTTTTTGATACAGAGTTTCCTTATTATTATTAGTTTTGCTTAACGATGAAAACTTCTGCATCTCACATAAATTACTCTTACCACTTGAAATTCCCAGTAATTCTTCCTCTTCAGCACTCGCTTCTTCAATGAGGAAATCAGTAAGATTTTTTAGCAATGGGTTCTGGCTTTGTGCTACGACATCCAGTTCAAAGCTGCTTTGACGTTCCTCTTGATTTTCCGATTGATAGAGTCCATTCTGAAAAATGAAGACCTAAGATATGCGAATGCTTCCAATGACATCTTAATGCTGATTCCTATTAAATGCAACCTGTGAAAGTATTCATACCCTTCATTACAATGAAATTTTCGTGAAAGCGTTCCACAAAAAAATAAGAATAAGCGAAGAATATTAGTAGCTCCTGCGATCAAAGAAAGACCTACCTTTTTGTCATATAAAGCAGTAAGCTTTGCTGCTTGCCGCAGATCATTTTGAGCAACTTGTTTATGCCCTGTTATACCATTTACGGACCGCACACGACGAGCTATATCTCGATTTATCACTGCACCCAGGTCACATTCCTTTATCTGTATAGAAATGTTGAGGCTTTAAAAAAGCAACTTCTGTAAGTTTTTTTGAACCTTACAAAATCATATATTAAGCAAATCCCACTTAAAACAAACCAGGAATATTAGTAACTCCTGTGATCAAGCAAAACCATTAGTATGAGGTGTCGTCTTTTTCTTTTCCAAAATGAAAAAACAATGGAAAATTACTAACACGAACGCTATTCAAATTCCAACAAATTTCTTTAATATTGACATCTCGTCTGAATGTTACCCAACCACGCCGATAGAATTTCCGATCCGGTACTGGATCTGCAAGACCAATCCGCAAAAATCCAGGAAATCGTTTACATGCCTACAAATACTTGCTTAACTGCTAAAATTTCAATGACTTTTGGAAAATCATAGTGTAAAGGAAACCATTTATTTCTTCATACTATGACATTAACCTCTCAAACTTAAATTTATGAGAATTAAGGACATTCTTCTCGGAGATGAAGAATTACAACGGAAATTCAGGAGCATCCCAATAGAAAAAGAAGAAACAGACCGTTTCAATTTCTTCCATGGTAATATTCGGTGCAACACTTCGAAGGAAAATGCTTGAAGTTTTATGCAGCAACATTTTCTTTTTTTGCCGACCCATTTCCTCCTCGTTTTTAACGCTCTCTTCATTTCCAGCTTAAGATTTACGAGAATTCACTCTTGGAAGAATTGTAACAGAAAATCAGGAACATCCCGACAGTGAAAGAGAAAAATCTGGTTGTCAGCGAACAGTGGTTAAAAAAGCTTGATGAATTTATAAAATTAAGATGAATCACACACAAGCAAATTGATCAAAACGCAATCTCTCGTTTACCTACAATCACTTCAGAATTGCAATTATATGTAAGACGAATAAGTACCATTTTTACACTGCTTCTCTTTTTCATCATCAGAATCGCTTATAGCACCATCATCATTTGGATTCTCTCCACCTTTCTCCTGTTTCGACTTGTTCTCTTCTCCATTGATTTCAATATTTTTTTTCTTCGTTTCACTGAAGAAAAGAGCGTGAAAAATCTTGCCATCAAACAGCCAAGTTTAAGCAGGAAGAACTTGATGTGGAAAACTCAAGACTACTAGAACCGCTTAATTATATAGCAGCATCTTCGATGTAATTGAAAATACAAAATAAACGAGAGCAGCATAATTTTGATAGTAAACGAAATCCTTTACCTACTTATTTCATTGAGACACACTTCTTGAAATATCCGTTAAATTTAACAACTAATTCAAATTCTACTTCTTTTACAGGAAGCAAAAACTCACCTCTTTAGTTTTTTCAACTCCAAAACCGATTCATCATCAATTTTTTCACTTTTTAAAGCTGCAACATCATCTTCTGTCCCACCTTCCAATTTGACAACCACTGAAATGATCTTACAAGCGTAACAAATGATCAAAGTAAAGCAATTCCATTTACAACCTTCAAAATATTGCCTTGAAAATTATGAATAATACTAACGTGTATCCATGATCCGTATGATTTCTGGTGCATAATCGTAATCAATTTGCAACTTATCGATGCACCCTTCGTCATAAAGGTTTTGGAAAATTTCCAATCGACGCAATACATTTTCCTTTTGATCAGCTTTTCGTTTACCACTGTCTTCTGGATGATATTTTAGACGGAACCTATAAAAACAATTTTTTAGGACATAAATCCACAGATCGAAATATATTTTCTTGTGCCAAGTTCAGTAATGCAATGACCAACTCAATACGACACTATAATGACAACATATTTTACGCGAAACCGCAATTTGAATTAAAAATACTTTAAGTTTTCCCATCTTCCACTTCCACATATGTTGAATCACAGTTATTTCTACCATCCATCTCATGGAACCCTTATTTTGGAATATTTAAATAAGTTCGAGAAGCTTGTTGTTGACGACGCAGGCAATGTGTGGCTGGTTAGTTGTCGAGAAGAAAAACGTATTTTGAGACGAGACGAGGAACTGTGGTCAGCAAGTGAATGAAATGAAGAACCGTTTGACAGAAAGTAATGAAGTTGTAATGTTGAACGTTTCGTCGACGTGATGTTGATGTTACTGATGGTTGTTTTGTGTGAAGAAAAGCAGTTCCGAATTACTGAGAAATGACGTTTAACTGATGATGACTGCCGCGGCATACAGCGCCTCTGGTCAGCCAAATTTCCTGTTTGTCGGTGTTATTCTTATATCAGAACATAAACTTACAGTAAAGTGTTGCAGAGTCACAAAAATGTAAGTCTTCTTTAAGCCATCCAGCCATATCATTATCTTACATATTATCTTATATATGCACGAAAGATCTATATAAGCTCCAAGAATACATGTTTGAAAAACTACATAAGTTACTTCTAAGCCTAACCGATAATGAATTTTTACAACATAGTCCATATCCATACATGAGTCAACTACTGTCTATAAAATATTAACGATGAAGAGTTCCTAAAGAATACAGGCAATCTCTTCCCTTAAGAGTTGATAACTTGTGAAGTGTTACTATGTACTCAGAAAAAGATCTAACCTAATGTGTATCTTTGAAAGGGCTTAAAATTTCACTTTGGTATACTAAAACTAAAGCCTATAAAAAAAGAAATTGTATATATATAAATCAAAATGTGTAAATCAAGAAATTCCTTCTGCTTTGCTCCTGTTCCTTAATTCTAAGTCAAAAAACTATAAGAAAATAGAGCAGGAAATACTGCGAAGAGTTCAAGAACTTACCATCAATAAAATAACCCAATTATAAAAAATCTCCCTGCAAAGTGAATTTGCTATACGAAATTCATTCTTGAATTAAGCAAAAAGTTTAATACAAATAGAAAATTAGCAAAAGAACGAAGGAACTAGTAGATACGGCATCTGTGCCATCACCCACCACTCTTCATCCTTATGTGCCAGAAAGAACTTGTGCAGCTCTTGTCGTTTAAATTCCAACTTATATTCTGAATATTTAGCAATTGCTTCTTCATCGGTTATTGAATCATCCTGTGTTGCAAGGAATTTTTTGAACGTCATCATTACCGGCACTGGTTCTTCATCCGTAGATGTTTTCATCACAGGATCATACGTGTCGGACGCACTGCTAAATTATTCGTTTAGAAACGATGATTTGAATTTTATGATTTTGAATATGAACAAAACATAAGGTTCATTACTGCACTGTATAGTCCACATCACCCCGGTGCCAATGAGCAAAAGTTGCATAACACAATATGTAAAAAGTTAAATTTAACTTGAGAAAAGCGGAGAAGGACTACTATTATTTAATTCCAATCCTACAACCACTGAATACCTTATCGAATGTCAAACCGGAACTATGGAAGACCCAAAGATGCACACATGTTCACTAGGTGACTTGCTGCATCATTTCATAGTCCTGCCATCACTGCGCATCAACAAGCATGCGCATAAGCATAGCTACACGTAAAACGTTAATGAAACCTGTTTTTACATTTGCATCAATATTTCGCTTACTCAATTCGGCTACGTTTCGTGTTGGATACGTAATCGTCACGACGCGATGAAGAGCGTTTCATCGATGAGCCATTTGCGTAATCACCTCGTTGATATGCATTACTTCCGCCACCACCACCAGCCCCACCACCACCTCCGCCGCGTCTGTAAGAAAATCGTATGATTTTTGGAAATAATCTTATCCACATCCTATAATCTTTATATGATATCAAAATAATTATATATCTTCGATCAACTAATGTTGAGAAGGAGAACATAAGTAGAGAGTAAGCGAACTGCTCACCTTACGTAATTCTCTGATTTTTAAAACTTTTGGAAAGTTTCAATACTTTACAGCTTGAATACTATCCAAATATTACCTGTCATAGTCGTAGTCGCGTCGTGTCCGGTCTGGATAATCATTCCGCTCACGTGCGAACTTATCACGCCCACCACGTCTATGGTATTCATCATCGCTATCGCCCATTACTCCGCTTACACGACGTATAATTTATCTGAAATATAACGATATTGCACAATCTATCGATTATTCATTTTTTATTGAGATTCGTAACATGATGTTTCTACCTAAAACTAGATACGCAAACTAGTCTATTTATGCTGATGCTGATAATTTTAGTCACTGAATCTTTACTTATTTCACATCTATCTGGGTTAATTTTTTGGTATTAGCAATTTCGATTGCATGGCTATGATGCGCAATTAAGTTAATGCTTTCTGAATTCGGTTCCATGAAAATATTTCACTCTCCTTCCTCATTGTGGAGCAACTGTTTCCATCATACAGTTCAATATACTCTACAGAATACATTTCCACAAGGTAATATATTAACAGCAAACAAAAGTGCGGGTAAGACAATCAGCAAAGTAAATAAGTAAATATTAAGTAAACGAAAGTTCAAATTTACTCTGACGTGACAGTTTTCATGGCTTTACAGAAATATAAAAAGAAAGACTGCCAATGAAATAGTATGATGAAGAATACCCAAAGAAACGAAGATGAATGACCAAGCAACTAACGCATAAGGAAAATAAGTCATGCTACGTAAAACGAAACGCGAACAGTCAGAAGTCCAACACATCCTCATCGTGGTGGAACTCATTAATGAATCATTGCAGCCTTCTACTCATGAAAATAAAACTTCCTACCCGTGTCTCTCGCTAATTATTTCTCCTGATGATCGTGGGAAGATGCATATGCCGTCACGTGATGGGCTTACACGTGGAACATGAATAGCTTTACATTATGTGTTTACCCAGCAGTTCTGCTTTTGAAGTGGAACGAACGCATTAGTGTGTGCGTTACAGGGTCGGGTAAAGAAGTACCAACCAAAAAATTGGTTATTGAAAGGAAAAAAGTGAAAAAAAGCAGTAAGACATACTTACTTTGAAAAGAATCTTGTAAAAAACTACCTGGATATAGGAATGGCATTAGAAAGATCCAGTTTCCTAGATAGAAATGAAGGAGATATCAACACATCAATTGGAAAGGATCGTGAAAGTAACAGGTGGTATGGGACAAATCATGTAATAAGAGTAGAGGATCACGTAATAAAAACGATTTCAACAGAATACAAGGATATATCCGCGTGATCTTTACATACTTATAAGAAAAGTCTTGTAAATGAAAAACATGAAAAACAGCAAATTATTGCTAGAGCGTTTTCTCCGGGATTTATTGCAGCCCATATATGATGGTCCGTTGAAGTTTTTCTTTCTGACGTGATGTATCTGGGAAGTAATGGATGTCTTACATGACATATTCACATATACACCCTATTCATGGAGAATTCACTATTTATCAAGACAACTGTATCGATTTTCACACCGTATGTAAACGTTGTATCTTAGATTTTCGCATCCCATCTCTCTGAAATAGTAACACTCCAATGTTGTCTACAATTGAATATTAATTGTTGTAGCTGAATTGAGGTCTATGCTTATTTGCTGATTTTCTCAATTTGAAAGTATGGCGTTTTACGAGTCTTATTAACCGCTGTTGCCCCCTTTTCCTTTGGTCATTTATCTGTACATTTCAAAACTGATTTCCAATCTACATTTTGTTATCTTTGTTTTCAACTGGAAGAATTTTGAATCCATAAAATTTGATAATTGTTCGCTGATAGTTGTGTATCATCCTAGGTTTTTTATCACATGCTAGGTTCGTCACTGACCATGATTTATTTCAAGTTGGTGATTTCCAGATTAAGATGGCACAAACAGCAAATGTAGCTTGTTTTGATGGGAGTGAAAATGGTGGATCAGATCTTGATATAAACGTAAACGACATACTGAATTCTGCTGCGAGTATCGGAAACGTTGAAACGGAACAAAATAAGTGATTTTAACTCTGTTATGAAGTTTTCGTTGTTTCATTACATGGAAAGGTGACGCATCAGTTCTTAAGGAAATCCGAGTATTCTTAGGGCTATTATCGAAATTAATGAAATTAAAACAAGTAGCATTAACTTTTAAAGAAATCACTTCATGAAATTAACTAAAAGTATTAAATTCAGACTAAATGGAACTCCTCGATTATCAGTTGCTATTAATGCAAATAATTTTAGTGCTGATATTGAAGTCAATAATTTAATAAACAGAGAAGTCAATGAAGTCTTCATTCATGACAAGGGAAAAAATGATGAAATGGCACGTTGTGCAGAACTCGAATTGATTGTTGCTCATTGCAAGAAACGTTTGCGGAAAATCAGTGTAAGATTTTAATGTGAACTTACGTTGCTAGTTTTCAATTGTTGCTCCAAGAAAGCAGTTTAATGGAACTGCCTTTTAGGATAATGAGAGGAGTATCGAGCGGGTGCAACTCATGGAAAAACTTGTGCAGTGCCAGCTCGAACTTGACGCTTTAAAGGTAGTATATCTTTTCAGATCATTGAAATTGCGCTTTACGGAAAGAGACAACGGTACAAGTTGTGGTTTATATAACAGCTTCCAAAACAAAATGTCATATCGAGTACATCAAGTTGGAAAAAGCTTATATGAATAAGACAAACTGATTTGTTTTATAGGAAGAATTATCTGATCCAGTGAAAAAAATTCGAGCATTGCGTGCTATAACTGTGATGGGGCATCAGTTTTCCTTGCAATCAGCTACTGGTCGAAATCCATATTGTGAAGTTTGCTTATCTACGATTTGGCGTTTGATACAACGTTACCGGCGATGTAACAGTAAGCTCGTAGTTGAATGAAATTTAATATTTTTTGTTGAGGAACATTTGAAAGAAGTGTGCAGCCATTTACTAAATTTTGTAAAATGATGAAATGGACTGATCTGGTTTTTTTATCTGTAATAAATTTATTGTGGGTAAGAACTAAATGGCTCAGTTCTGTTTACAATGTATCAGCACTTCAAAAGATATCACCGAGATTTTTTGCCATGTTTCGCAGGTAAATTTATTCACTTCACTATGTTTCCATTTTTCACTTACAAAATAAGTTTTGCAGATTGTGGTTTACGATCACATGACAAATGTGTACAACACGTCTTACGTTATTGTGTTAGCACCAAAGCTAATGATATTCTCTTTAGGCTTGTTAATTATAAATACTTTAATTAAGAACTGTAGACCAGAGTATTTTTTCATGCAGTTGTATTAAATGTCTAAAAGCGTACTGTATATTATATTCACGAAGAATTTTTTGCACGAACTGCATTATGTGCGTTGTGTGTTTCATTGGAATTATTGAACTATACAGTGTCAATTTTTATGTGAAATTGCAGGCCAAGGACGGAAATTTGCGAGGAACGTGGACTTGATTTGCAAAACTATAAATGTGCAGAGTGTCACCATTCTTTACAATTTGGTAAGGGAGATAATTTGCGGTATGCTATTTTGAATACTTTAAAGTCTTGTTTTTTATTATGCCAAAATTAAAGATGGTGCAACTGATAGTGAACCGCGGTTATGCGATTATAACGGCCATTATTATTGTCCACGTTGTCATTGGAATGATGAATGGTTTATACCGGCTCGTATAGTACACAATTGGGATTTCAGCAAGTATAAGGTTTTTGTTCCGTTTTAAATAAGTGTGTTACATTTATCGACTAATTTAATCTTCTTCACTAGAAAAATTTTTAATTTGCATAGAGATTTTATTCTCAGGTTTGTCGCGCAACAAAGCAACTGCTTGTTGTTATCGAAAGAAGACCAGTTTTCAATATTTTAAAGTTGAATCCTGGACTAGTGAATTACGTTGATCAACTAGCCAAAATAAATAAGTTGCGACAAAATATATTGTTGATGAAGTGTTACTTCATGTGTTGTAAGGTGAGATTCAATACTTGCCAAAGTCGAAATGAGTTTTTTCATTGCTGTTGAATTTATAAATTGATAAGGCAACTTATGATGAAAATTGTGAAGTTTTTCGTTAAAGGTAGCCCGTAAGCAGCGAATTTTGCAAAATTTGAGACATCGTCAACATTTTGTCGAAAACTCGGATATGTACAGTCTGATGGACCTGGTGGATTTGCATCAAGGTCGATTATTACCAGATATCAAAGGAATAATTCGTATATATACCGAACATATCACTAAAGACTGTATGATCTGCAGAGGAAAAGGATTTATTTGCGAGTTGTGTGATGATGCTACTGTAAGTAAATTCCATTTCTGAATTATTTTTCATAATTTAGAGACTCCTCAGGATGAAGCGAACCTGAAATAATTATTTTCAAGGTATTTCTTTTGGCTATATTCGATTCTTTTTGTTTTAGGTAATTTTCCCATTCCTCGAAAATGTGGCCATCTGTCGTAATTGCTTAGCTACTTTCCATCAAGAGTGTTTCAACAGAAAAAGCAAACACTGTCCAAGGTTGGTATCATAGTAGGACAATATATTATATAACTTTTAATTATTCATTTGCTTGTTTGTCCTGAGCATTTGTGATTTAATTTCTTTTTATCGGGACGAGAGCTTTTTGTTTCTTCATTACTGTAGGCGAAAAATTTATTTAAAGAATTTTATTTGACTTAACATTCTTCGAAGTTTGCATTCTTCCAAAAATTACTTTATTTAAAAAAAATTATTTAAATTTTAAATGATTTTAGATGTTTGCGACGAAAATCTCGTACAAGTTCAATGTTGCCGATGGATGATATCAAATAATATCACTTAATCCAAATAATGACTGCATTCGGATTCTTTAAGATATCAGTTCAACTATTTTGTATGTTAAAACTTCGAATTGTATAGGGTTGTTTAATTGTGAAATGCATTGTAAAATGCCGGTGCTTTCTCTGGTTCGCGCATTTGATTTTTTAAAATATACATTTTGCGTATATGCAACTGCACGGTTAACTATAATCTGTAAAAGGATGCTCACTATAGTAAATGGTAGACTATTCGTTTTATCTAACACCTGTAGTTACCTATATTAACGGTTCATGTACTAGATTTGTATTTTGAATAAATGGCTATGAAAGTTTGCTGATAGCTTTGCTTTCTAAATTGTATATAATGTAAAATAAAGTATCTGTACACTGATGTCATGGATGCATTACTGCAGGATAATGACAGTTTTTATGATATCTTTTTGAACAAAATATAAAGAGAGTTGCTTCCATCATTTTTTGTTTTTATATTGAAGAGAAGATCGTTTTGAAATATTGCGTAATTAAGAATAGAGGTTAGACCGTGCTTTTGAGTTAAATTCAGTAGATTGCAAACGGTGCTGTTGATTAGAGATTAATTTATAAATTGGCTAGTGTCTTTTCCTTTGTCTGAAGGAAACACTAAGATCTGTAGTACTTCTCAAGGAATTTCTTGGCTGTTCATATGAAAGTCCAACTTTATTTTTTTTTTTGATTTGAAGGATTTGAATTTGTGAGAGGGACAATTCAATATAAGTTTTGCTGTTTTGTTAAGTAATGACGTTTTTGTCAGCGAATACTGGGTCCTCATAAGTCGAAATTAAATTTATTGATAAGTCATAAATAGATTTTGATTTGTGAGTTGTTCTGAGCCTGATTACACCATGTTAAGTAGTTCTGAATAATATAGTTCGCTCATAGATCAGTGCCGTTATTGTGGGATATCAAGCCCCTCCATATGAATATTAAATCGCTACCCACCAAGAGATGTGGCTTATTCAGTGTATTTGCTAAGATTGATTTCTTGAATTTTTTTTCCCTGGTAGTATATTTAAGAAAAAAACACGCCTGTGCATAGTGATATTACGATATGCAGGGAGTCTCGACAGAACGACAACTCGAGCCAAATATTATTATGTCAGCTCCCAAAATTAGTACAGTTGTTACGACATTAACACCACAAATACGATTATCTAATTTACATTTTTCTACCCACAACTCAACGGAGGAATCAGGACAAGATGAAAGTAAGTCGTTCCCTTCAGTCATAATCGTCCAAATGTTTAGTGTTTTTAGATATTTGTTTTTTCTCAAAATTTTTTTTAATTTTCACTCTGTATTGTTGTTGCTGTGGGTGAAAAAAGGAAGTAGGATGTGTTAATTAGATCATACCTCAGTCGTTGCTGTTCTTATTTTTAGTTGATGGTAGTCTCAGCCGTGTCCCTTATCCAGAAGTAACATCCGTGAATAAGTCCACTTCTGCATCTATAGAGAAAAATGTAAACACAGCACAAACAGTTTCATCAAAATATGTCGCTGGAGCAACTTATGCTTACCAGCCCGGAAAAACTTATCGAGCAAAGCGCGTTTTTAAGGTATTTTTTATGTTTTCTTTCGTTTAAGAGATTATTCATCGCTAGTAATTCATTAAGCTGAGACGTGCCACACAAATGAATTTCATAAATCAGAGTAATACTGTAGCCGATTTTTGACTGTTGCTGTAAATACTAGTATAGTTCTGTTTTCGTTTTAATAATTTCACTGCTATTTTTTTTTCTTTTTTTTTGCTTTCGAGTATCATCATCATCTTGATATTGATTATTACAGTCCACTAAATCTTAGTTTTCCATTTAGGTTATCATATTAGGTAATGCTGGAGTTGGGAAAACTTGTCTTAGTTTTCGTTTCTGTAATGGGAGATTTCCGGCTCAAACGGAAGCAACGATAGGAGTGGATTTTCGAGAACGCTCTGTTGCCATTGATGGTGAACTGATAAGGGTTTGTTTTTCTGTTTTTATCAGCGTATACCAAGCGCGATATTAGGGGTTAGTTTTTACACTGACGAAACAGCAGATAATCAAAAAAACCAATTTCAGATATGATTCACATTGCGTATGATTGTGAGAAGTGAAAATACTTAAATTTAGTTCAGTTAATTTTTCTCATGTCATTGAAGACAAGCATCAATCTTTTCGTATTCTAACTTATCACATCTGTATAATCGGTTGTGCTAGGACTGTCTCTTCAGAATATGCTTCAGTGTAAAACGAATCAAAATAAAAAAATGAATTTCTTTAACACATGCCTAATCGAATGGTTTAATCTGGAGCTTTTTTGTATCTTTTTTTATTAACAAAAAAGGGAATAAATTTACTAAACTTAAATAAATGTGTTTCATGACTTCATTTCCAAAGAAGGCTTGGAAATTCAGCCTTCAGCTGACATCGAGCGAATCACTAGTCATTCATTTTTGATCTGCCAAAAGTAATATTGGAATCATAGTTTTGAGAAACATTTCTTTTAAAACTCCAGGTTCAACTATGGGATACAGCTGGACAGGAACGTTATCGACAGTCCATTGTATCACATTATTATCGGAATGTGAATGCCGTTGTATTCGTTTATGATGTATGTAATCCGTCATCGTTTCATTCACTGAATGACTGGATCAGTGAGTGCCGCAAACACTCGGTTTCATCGACAAACGATACGCCGCATATACTAATCGGAAATAAATGTGACCTGATGCTGGAAAATAGAGTTAAAACTGATGTTGCTCAGGTTCGATCCTTTTAAATACATATTTTTCTTCTCAAATTTAAATGAATTATTTCACTGAAACGTCGATTAAATTAAGTAATTTGATGGGAGATTAACATCGTGAAGGAGCTGCGCTTAGTGCGATGATAGTTGCATAACCCACCTATAATTTATAAAACAACAGAAGTATAATAACTTATAGCTTGAGGGCAGCAGTGTCGTTAGTTGCAAAGCAGCAAGTGAGATTCCGAAAAGTCTTAAGCTTGAATTGCCTTAAATTACTCGTTTTTTTTCCGTTTTATGCAAAGTTTTTTGTAGATGTTCGCCGATCAAAATGATATGGCATTATTTGAGACTTCAGCATTGGCAGATACGGAAGCGGATCATGTTGAATCAATTTTTATGACATTGGTGCATAAATTGCAACAGAGTAAGCCAATGCATGTTCAAACCGATGAAGAAAGGGCCCGGAAAGAGCAAAGATTATTAGTGAAAGCTGGCGATGCTATTGCAGAAACTAGTGGTAAAGGATGGTGCTGCTGAGGAATAGTTTTTAACTTTCTCTGTATCCATTACTATTTAATTGTTAATGTTGCTGTATATTTGAAAGTTGACGTTTTTCCTGGAGATAACTTCTCATCTTAAATTTTAATTAGAGCAAGATAGATCTGTTGTTCTACTGAACTGAAATCATTAATGCCTTTCAATTTATCAAGATTTATTAAATATATAGAATTTTCTTATGAGTTATAAGTAATTTTACAAATATTTTATTGTTCTGCAGTTCTGAAAGATTGATTTATTGTACAAGGTCCTTTAAATCAGGTCTTAATATCATGAGCCTGTTATAAAAAAAAAAAAAAAACTATATTTAGTATATAAGCGCGCCACCATTAGAAGATGTGTTGAAGACAACCTGAATTCCTGATATTCGCTGAGTTCAAAGTAAATAAGCGTATTGTCCTACACTTGCTAAATAATTTATTTATAATATATCGTTCCTGCTTAAGATCTTCTAAAGGCGTCCTGGTATGATACTTTTATGCTGTTTGTTCTCTTTTGCACCACTTGAAGTTTCTGTTCGGAAGGCTTTCTTTTTTCTTTGATAGGCTCTTTTGTTTTTTTTTTTTTTGAGATTTCTTCTGCAAGCGAGATTATAAATAGTGATACAAATCGAATTCAAGATAAGATTCATATTCATCATAACTGTTTGCATGTGAAGCACAATTGTCGTAAGAAATCTTCATTTTCATTTTTACGTAATTAAATTGCTACATGTATATCTTCTACACAGTATACAAGAATCCAAAAGTCTGCAGGGATTCCAAAATAACATTTCCAAATACAATCCCAAGAAAGTCTTAGTTGAGCCAATTATGGCTATTTTTTGAGATATAAATTGATACAACATAAGGTGTTAAAATAGGTGTTCGTTGAAACCCAAAAAAACGTATATTTAATGTGGTTTGTGAATTTATTAATGTAAATCATCGCGCAGAGTAGGTCTTTTGAGCTCGGATTAGAGACCAAAAGATATTTGAAAATTGATTCTTGGAACTGTCATCATAATCAGGTAAGCACAAAAAAGGACTGTAAAATGTAATGTGCATCTTATGCTAATTCAGTTGAGATCGTTGTGCCACTCACAGGAAACCCGCGAAAACGCTTCCGCTTCCCTCACGAAGGCCTCTTTAAAATTAAAGTACTTTTCGGATAAGTTTCTAAAATTCTGTCTCAGAATTTTGTACATTTGATTTCTACGAAATTCCACTTGAATAATTCTCTTTTCAGCACGGAAATGATAATGATTGAGTTGTGACAGATGTGAAGCTATTCCTTTGGAAGATTCAAACATATGAGGAAGCTGGACAACTAACAGTTCCCAGCTAAAGCCAAACAAATGAATTAGAAGAAATAATTTGATGGCTGCCACTGTTTTCAAATCAATCGTATATACAGATGTAGCAATGGCTAAGAAGTGTATTTGCACTGAATAGTTTTCTATCCTAATATATTTGATACTAGTATACTAAAAGAAAATTTTTAAATTTGTATTTACTAGTTTCTCTTTTAAATTTAAAATTGGATATTTTAAAAATTTTTTGGGAAAAAAAATCAAATCTAATTGCTAAGAAATGCAAAGACTGGCAATATATTGCAATTATGCGAAATGTTGAATTTGTTTGAGCAAGTTAAGTTTCTCACATACATCATTCCAATGCCAACTACATCTTATCGACCCTGATTTTTCCAAATTCTTATTCATGCAGCATGCGCAAGATCCGTGCACATATTTTGTTCCCGATAAAATTTGCATAAATTGCATCCAAATTCGTGCTTTTTGTGGCATATTTTCAGGTATAGTAAAGTGATCACCCAAAAAAGCCCAACAAAAATCGTCCGAAATACGTTTCATCATTTCTGGCTTTAAGAATGCTGAACATGAGGATACTTCGATGCATTGCATGAAACGTAAATAAACCTCGGGCTGCAATGAAATGAAAAAAATTTCTAAATTTGACATTATTCATTTACACATCTATCTCTAAAGGTGAATTAGTGGCCAAAGAATGTTTTGATGAATTTTATAGCTTATTAGTGTCAGCCAGATATCAGATCAAATGGAAAAATTAAAGCGAAGTGCATTTTCTACAATTACTACCCAAAACCTTTTTCTCTCTAAACATTGCTTAATATTTGGCAGATTTTTCTGGATATAAAAAATTTCTTTTGGATATAAGGAATACAAATCATTACCTTAATTTCAGAGACATTTACAATTTATCTTCTTTTAAACTTCAAATTTTTGAACGCCGATATTTAAACAAAAATTCTAACTCACTTCATAGACGATTATACTATGCGTACGTCTATCTGGATCCAGTACCATCAGTCCATTATGTTTCAATGGTATCACTTCTGTTTCATTACTCAAAATAAGCACTGTCCGGTCGGGTACATCAATAATAGCTACATCTAATGGTATAATAGCTGGTGGCATCTGAAATCATCAAGGATTCTGAATCAAGGATTGGGAAAAATGAATGCTTCACTTTTCCGAATATGCTCATTTTTTTGAGCTATGTTTAGTAAAACTATTGAAGTAAAAATTTGAATAAATTGAGACTAAAATCATTTCAGAACTCTTAAAACTATAATTTTATTTCGTATTCGAGTAGAATTTGAAAAAAAATAAAAGATTAAAGTTTTTGATAATACATGCATCACTATTGTCTCTTAATACGATTTTCTAGATCTGTGATAATATTGGGAATTCTTTTGTAACAAACGAAACTTACGTCTATCACTCGTTTTACGACTGTCATTCTTTGTGTCAAATTTAATCCCTCTGTAGTAGAAGAGACACGAATAAGCGGTAAACCGGGCTGCGTGAAATATTTCTCAAAGAATTCACCTGAATTCCAATTTCAAATTAATAAATTGATGAACAGGTATATGAATACACAATGAATGAAGTGGAGACAAACCAGCGAGATGGTCATTAGTAACTTCTTCGATCACTCGTCGCCATTCCATTATTCCAGCATTGGCGTAGGAGTATCGTTGCATAAGTAACCTGTAATTAATTCTCCGAGAATAGCTGTCAATTTCAAAAGTAAATCAAAATTTTATATTTATTTAACAACTTTAGTGACATTTCGAGAATAACTATTTCAAAAGTAAGATTGCTTTTCTTTTATTTGGCAAATGTTAGAGAATGTTGAAAGTTTTCGAATTTTGATAATTTAAAAGAGTGATCACTTTTGTGAAGTTAATCTGCATGATTTTTTTAACTGATTTCATTCCATCATTTTCGCTATTTTTTAACAATAAATATTTCTTGCCTATTTTTTCTCAATACTTCCTTTTTGTTCTTTTTTCATTTCATATGATATAATTTTAAGTTGACCACTTACTTGATCAATTTTGCCACTGTCCCTTGTCCAAATCCAAGTTCAAGCATAACAAAAAATGTTGCTGGCTTATCAAAACATCGTGAAATCTGCAAAACTCATCCATTCATGCCAAATATACTCAAGAATTAAAAGAAAAAAATGATCAAATTCGGGCAGTTGGAAGAATTTGGTAAAAGAAAAAAATATGTTAGCAAATAAGTAAATAATTGCTGAACAAATTGCAAGCGATGCTCATCAAATAAAAATAAACAATTGCAAGAAAACAATAAATAAAATCTATGCATACATCCTCAGGTGAACGAAATTCAGAAATGATAATTGTCGAGGATGCGCTATCTTTCATAATACCTTCACGACGCTTTTCACTAATCAGTTCATCGATTTCACTCGAATTATCCAATGATTTTGTGATTATCCATTCCAAATAGGTGCTCAATCCTTCCTAAAATACAATTTTAGCATCTCTCGTTTAATTTAATTTCTTCTTTTTTTGAGAAATTTCACTCAATCTGTCATCTGATGTCATATCATATCATATCATATCATATGAAGTGCGAGAAAAGTATAAAATATTCAATAAATAAATTTTCAATCGCATATAGAATTGAGAATTCAAAAATGAAATGAAAATAAATTCTTATTTTTTTTGAATTTGAAAAGTCAAATCAAAATTTTGAAAGGAACAGGAAATTTGCCTTATGTATTTGCTCGACCATACTTATGGTAGTTTCATTTATTCCCATTCATAATAATTTCATTTCTTTTATATTTAAATTTAAACTTAAATTTTATTTCATCATTTGCTTGTTTGTCTATTTGTTTACTATTCATTTTTATCTTCGTGAAAAAGCAAGCAAAATAAGCCTCACGAATTTACTTTAATAAGCTGTGGCTGTTGCCCTAATCCCTGCTGCGTATCTGGTTACCGGAGTGGGATAAAATAATGGTAATTGAAGACCAGGATGAAAGGTCAAGCATAGGTATTAGACGGTTGCAAGTCATCTCGACAATTATGGGGTAATATGATATCTAAAATATAAGCATTTTTTGCTGAAACTTTCTAGAGATTTCCTCTTTATATTAAAATAATGCTGTCTTGATTTATGAAAATCCCTCACAAAGAATTAATCAAAGTTTCAATTTTTTTTGGAGGAATAAAATATCTTGCGGAAATTATTTGAAATAACTCGTTTTCAATATTTAAAAAAATTCTCTACGAACAACAAATAAACAAAATTTTCATTTCCCATTACAATAATTTTGTTTAAAGCGTTCAAAAATTTATTCTCTCCCTCTATGTCAATTTTTAAAATAAAACTTTGAACAAAAGTTGTTGAGTAAAATATGATTATTTACTTACTTCACCTATTCACCTATTATTTACTTTACCTATACTTTACTTCATCGGAGAATTACACCAAAATTAACACTTACTTCTCAAGTTATCCAAAAATAAAATTTTGTTTAGCAATTATTTGAACACCGTGTAATTTGAATTTTTTTAATGATTTTAAATAAATTTTTAATATATCTTACTTAGAGTGAAATGATTTCTAATTGGTTTTCGCATTTTATAGTACTCAAAGAGATGTTACAATAAAGTTCTATATGTTGAAAAAATCCAATAGATTTGCTTATGAGATTAATTATAGTATATTTAGTATATTTATGGAATATTCATAACAATCCACCATAATGATAACTTATCATAATCTATCATCAGTTGTTTATGTTACATTTTTTAAAAAAGTTTCACGAATTTTGATTATGTTTGCTAAAGTTATCTTAATTTGTTTAAGGATATAAAATAACATTTACGGGATCAATAAAAAACATTTTATTAAAGAATCGGCAGCTCTTAGAAAAGTTCAATAAATTCATTCTCTATACTTCTATTGTCCCTCTTACCCTTTTGATATAGTATCCAAGCAAGTAGATATCTTCTATATTGTAGTAATTTATCAACTCAAAACAGCTGTTTCCATCATTTCGGTACAATCTAAAAAAAAATATCGAGACAAATGACTCCTCTATAATCATTAAATCTCTCTATTTTTATGAGTATCTTGATAATGTATTCAAACAAAAGTTAATCTACTCCTTGTCACCGTTAAATTCTTTTATAATTGATAATGGGACATCCTTTAATTGTACTGGTCCATCTGTCCAATCTATCACTTGTCACTGATCAACTGATAAACTAATGCAATTACGATATTATGCTTCCAACGTGAAATCAATCACATTTGTTGATAAATCTACCAAAACAGATATAGAGAGGATATATGGATGATAATATGGCATAAAGTTCTTTTACTTATATAATTCAGAAATGCTTCACTTAGCAAAATAAATCACAAGCTTTATAATTAATTTTTTTTGGATGACAAAAGGAAAATGAAATAATTCGAAGATAATTTTGACTGAATCATTTTAGTGTTAAAAATTAACTTAAATTCGAGCTTACGCCATTTTTATTAAAATGTGGCGGTAAGCCAATTTTTTTCATTTAAAAATTTAGCCTTATTGGAGATGAAAAAATTATTAAATAAAGAAAGAAGCAAATATCACACTTAACAGAAATGAATGAATAAATAGCAAATAATAAGTGAATAAATAATCCTTTAATACATTGATTTCTTAATGATAAGCTCAATAATTAATAAATAATCATTAAAGTGATCATTAGTCACTGATCACCAAAATAATCACTAATCACTAATAGTCACTAATCAATAATCACTAAATAATTAAAATTAAAAAAAAAAGAGTTACAATATCAGCTACTAAATCATTCAGCTTTATATTTTTGTTGGAGAGAAATCTTGAAATTCGATTCTATCACTTAAGCTGATTTACAAACACTTAAAATATTCCGTTGTGCTTTAATACTATCTTATATTTTCGCTCTTAATCCATATTATAATAAGTTTGAATTTCAAATTTTTATTTTAGAAAATTTTTGATTTCAAAAATTCACACTTTATTTTGGATTTCAAGTTTTATATTTTATACTTTAATTAGAATTTTTAGGCAGAAAAGAAAACGGAAGGACAGATAAACCTGCAAACATATTTCATTCCAATTCTTAATCGTAACAATATTTCCAATCCATTGCTGGGCAATTTCATGTGCAAGAATTGTATGGGCCAAGCGATATTTCGGATAGGCCACAAATCGTTCATCCAATATGATAAGACCCAAATTTTCAAGCCCATAAACGGGTAAAAATGATGCCATTAAGTTTAATTTGCTCAATGGATATTGGAAATCGCTAATATTTGCCATCACTTTTAGAGCCTAAAATAAGGCGGAAAAGTTTTTCATTTAAGTGAACCTCTCTATTATTGTAAGACAAATTATTAAAAGAAATATTCGAATCTGAAAACAACTGAAAAATTCAAAATTTCTGCATTTTTATATTTGCTGCAAGATAAAATTTATATACATGTATTGCTTCAGTGCTGATCCAATCAGGTTTGATGAAATTATCTTCTTCCGAATAGAGTACTTCAATTTCAGGTAAATGTTCGCTTGGTTTTTTTGCCTCCTTCATTGAACTCATCCGGTCAAATATGGTAAACGCATATAAATAACTACTCATTGGTGGTGTGGGTTCAAAGCATGATTCAATTCGATCGTTGGTTTTAGAAATAGATAATATTTTTGTGTTTGATCTGAAAAATAAATTATCTTAAAAAATTTTTAAATTAAAAAAAACTTATTGAAAATTTTACATAAGTCTTCTGCTTGCAGACGGGTGAAATTTCAATCAAAATTCAATTTTTTGTCCTAAATCAAAACAAATACCGCGCTTCAGTTCCAACTGGATGATTGATACACATTTTCATCGTTGCTTTCATAATCGGTAAATCAAAACACGGAAAAATTGAACGGGCATTACGAAGTTGGAAAAACGTGGTTACTGTCCATGGCCTTTAAATATTTTAATTTTTGTTTCAAAAATTCTTAAAAATCTCATGGATCTGCTTTTTTAATAAGTTTTTTAATGATAACAATTCAAAACTCAAAACTTAAATAGAAATAATCAAAATTCGAAGTAAAATTTGGTTCCTTCAATTTTAGTTCTATTATTCAAGTTTTAAACTTTCCTTCATTTTACAAAACTTCACAAGATTTACATGCTGTATTTACTAAAGAAAGATGAACAATTTACCGTTTAGGCTGCCATGTTTGTGGCCTTTTAACGATTAGACCAGCAGAAGCTTGTGGACTGGAAAAATTTTTAATTTGAAGGACAACAATATGTCCAACGCTAATGGATTCGGTGAATTCCACTGATAGCACTTCATCTTTTTGATGATAAATTATTGATGCGACACAAGAAACTTCTCCTAAATTTCTAAAATTTAATAAAGCAAACTTTCGAAATGTGATTTGATTAAAAAGAAATTTTTTTCAAATAAAGAAATTTCCAATTTTGTGTAACCTGTATGACAATTATATGCTGTTATTTGTGATACAGTGATATCAGAGATGGATCGACCAGTATGCAATGATATTAATGAAGTTGATTCAACAGCTTTTATCTGTAACATTTCTAACGAAAAAATTATCCAACATTAATTTCAATAGATTTCAATTTATTTTTCTACTAAAATGAATGCTTCATGGAATTGCTTGAACAAATTATATTATATAATAAAAATTATTCATTTGTTTCTAAATATACATTAATCATTTCCAATTAATCATCCACTAGTTTAAATTCCTCTTTTTTCACTCTAAGTTATCAAATAGACTACTTTCTAAACTGAAATAGGAATTCTATTATGAATATTATAATTCATTTCAGTTTTTAAGTTTTCGATTACCTTAATGTAAAACTTATATAGTTTAATTAATTAAATTTAAGAATAAAATTTACATAAACGTTGATATCCCCTGTGAAAGATGTTCGCGCATCTCGATTAATGGTTATATTAAGCTCGTAATGCTTCGGACGCCATCCCATAAAATGCCCTAAATGAGCTACAAATTCTTCTGATGGTATTTTGCCGTCACTGCAAAGAAAATTTAATAAATTTCCCGAGACAACGATCAAGATTTCAATAATTATTTTAAGTTTAGTAATCGCATATAGTATTTTAATATTTAAAAATTTTAGCCTTTCAAGTTTTTGCTTCTCAAATCCATCCTAAAAACTTACTCTCTAATCATCACAATTTTTCTGATAAAAAATTTTTAGCATATCAGCAAAATTAGGAATATGCACGATCATTTTTCTAATATTAATTTAAATTTTAAATATGAATTAAAGTGATAATAATTTTTGATGTTTCAAAAAGATGCGATATTTATTTGGTTGTCTGCTTATTCATTGATAGTAAGAGAGAAGCATAAATTACTTCCACGATCACGTCTAATAAATGTTCACAGATCTCATTCACTTAATTGATTAATTTTTCGACAAAAGCCTACGCATTACTATTACTCTCTCAACATTTTTCTGTAGGCGTGCAACTTATTTACAACAGAAAGTGTGTGAGCTATTTATTCTTTTACTGCAAACATTACTACACAACTAATCAATCATAAGATATCTTTAAATAAATAAATATCGTATTTTCTCAAAAAAATTTAACCATTGTATGATATTAATCCTTCCATTTCTTATTACTATTAATTTTGTTAAAAAGAAAAGAAATTAAAAATTTAAATTGAATTCGAAGCAGAAAGAAGTAATAGTTAGATGAAAGAGATGAGAGTTTAGACAATAAATTCAACTGAATGATAAATAAAATTTTTTCAGATTTCACATTTGCATACTTCTGAAAATTTTTGCGCTGGATTTGAATGCATTTGTTGGTTTCGATCGGTGTCACACATTGTGATGCATCAAAACTTTGGCTTATAATCGTAGTTGGCATAGATGTAGGGCCAGAATTCTGCAGGAAAAACTTTACTTCACATTTTTCATTTTATAATACACAATAAAATATGTGAAAAAAAAAGAGAGTAGCAGAATGATTAGAAATGAACGAATAATTTCATTAAATTAAAAATTGAAAATTATAAAGTTTTTTGAAAGCTCAAAATAATTGCAAGAAAAATTGTTCGCAATATGATAAGCATTAAAGCTTACCTGATCTGATGTTGTTTGTTCGATATATGTGGTTTGTTGTAATGGAGAAATACTGGAATATTCATTACTTCCATTTTCAACATTTCGAATTTTTTCGTATTCTGATACTCTTGCAATTATATTCTTGCTATGACGTCCAAAAATCATAAATATGCCAAATAAAATGAATAACAAAGCAATAATTAGTATTGCGTACATGATATATTGCTTTTTATCATTTAACCATTTTTGATGTTTATGAAAAGAGGCAGTAATAATAGTTGAAGCGTTATTAGCATTGGTACCATTGGTGATAATATTTTTAGTACCATTAGTAGAGAAGATATCTGGCGGTGGTGCCATGGTATCAAAAGAGGACCAGAAGAGAGGTAATGATGACTCGCTAGCAATTCTCAAGTAGTCTCTAGTGCAATTGTTCAATATAAAATATGTTGAGCTTATGATAACTGAGAGAATTCGGGGGAGGAGGAGGGGTCCATTCAATGAAAATCATTGAGGGACGATACAATCTTTGCCCTATCTTCAACTGTCATACTATTTCATCCTTATCATACCGAAAATTATAATTTCTACGCTGGCAAAATCTCTTCCTACTCATTAACATCAAGAATATCAGATATCAGTGAGCTATCAAACTATACTTGCAACAAGAAATTCGTCTTTCAGTTTCGAGCCAGAAATTTTACACAAAGTAGAAATCTATTCGAAAATAAAAATTTGAAATTATTTGTTTTAATTTTTCATATAATTTTAATCTAAGCTTGAAAATTTTGTGATTAAAGAAAAATGAATCTGAAAAAAATTGAAAATATTTTAAAAAAAGAAATTTTATTGCTTTATTAAAAAAATTGAAAATATGAAATTTTATTATTCAAACCATTGATAATAAATTGCAACGATATTTCCATAATTTTAATACATCAAAATTTCATTGGTAACAAGAAAGGAGAAGTACCCAAAGAGATGTTACAAACGTTCATTAAATCAATGATACATTAACAGATACTAAAGCTGCTATTATTTTCAACGTAGTGCTGTATTTCATTTTAATGTTCGAGAAATCCTTAAAAGATTGATCTAATCAATTTTTAAAAGTCATGCACTTTTTAACAAAAGTTTAAATTTCATAAGTAATACAGTTTTAATTTATTTTGCATACTTTTTGATGCATCTGACTTTTCTTGTGCATTGAAATAATCAGTTAATGAGGAGGAAGTTGATATAAACTAAAGCTGAAAATTTAAATCGTCTGCCATTTCTAGTCTTCGCACATTCCGTATATCATCGCTGACACTTTAAGGAAGAGATGGACTGAAATGGCAAATTATAAACAAAACGGATATTTGCAACGGTTTAATCCAATTATAATAAACAATTGTCATACTTCCTGCTAAATACCTTCAAGCAATGATTTTTCAGTTTGATATTACATTTTTTAAATTTTCAGTTACAGAAAATATTTCTTATTATAGGCTGAACAACAACTGTTTCAATAAAGTGGCATTTTGTGAGATGATTGACTGCTGTAATGCAATATCACTGATAAATTAGTTTCGTTGCTCAATTTTTCAATTTTTGATGAGATGTAAAAATGAATTTTGAAATTCTACTAATTACTGAAAACTTTAGAATTAATCGATAATTTATTTTCGAGTATTGTGTGCTTTTTTTTTGTTTTAGTAATCTTAAGGATCAATTTTCTTTTTCCCACTGCTACATATTACTATCTTAATTAAAATTTATTTCTTTTAAATTATCTTGAAATTGCTGAGAAGAAAATTTTGGAAAGATATGTTTTGAATAAAAGTATATCGAGATGTAAAGACGCAACAAATTTTGTGTAACATGTCAGCTGATGGAATTACTTTTGGAATTAATCCCTCGCTTTTTGTTGACCTGACCAGACCAGATCAATTATATTCTCTAATGCTTTATCCAAATTCTTTCGTCATAGGTACACTTTACAAACAGAGTCACTTATAATAATGACACCATATGTCCTACACTAATTAGATAATCATCTAAATTATCCATGAATTCATTCTTATTTAAATTTTGTAAAACGAAGTATTATTTCAAGCAAATCTAATTTCCAGTTTAGTAACAATTATAAGGCAATAGAAAATTAATGTCTTGATAAATTTGAAACTATTTTGCTGACCTGACCAGACCAGATCAATTATATTCTCTAATGACAGATATTATTTACGAGAGAACTACTGATCGACTTTAATAAAGGTAGTTTGTATGAAAATGTTGTAGAAAGCGTGTTATATATGCGGAAGAATTTCGCTCCCCGAATAATGTCATTGCAAGCGGCATCTGTTCCTTTGATGTTACACAGCTATACGATGACACACATCCTTATCTGTTTAACGTGAATGCAGTCTGGGATAACTTAGCAGCTGTTTCATAAAAGCAGTAAATCTCTTCTATTCTAAATTTATTATATCCAACTATAATGCATAATTAGCTGATCCCAAAGTTTTTATCTATTTGCTAAGTGATGCACCGCTTGACTGCGATCCACTCCGTACAGACGCTGATGCTAGGAAATCAGTTGCAACAACCGATAGAGCCATATACTTCGAATCTTTATACGCATCTGATTTTCTCATTGTAACTCATCATGGACTTCGCATTTAAACATAATACATTATCTAGAACCATAAGACTGCTGAATTATAGTTAGTTTAATGGAACATTCTGAATCTCGATAAAATAAAATTTTATTATTGTGTTTTGATATTATATTTTTAGCAAGTAATTGAATAGAGCAAAGTGGTTTAGCTTAGCAAAGAAAAAAGAAACTATTGATATTTACTGGCGTATTCTCTAATACAAAGAAATGATAACCACGAATGTAAATACAAAATATTAACAACAAAAGCAGCAATAACAATGCCAACAATCATGGCGACAGCAAAAGGCACAAAATATTAAGCACGAATAGGCAGATAGATCGAAAACTTGATAACCGGAAATTATTGAAAATTTTGTAAGCGTTTTCTCATTTCTTGAAAAGTCTTTGAATATAAAAACTATATAGCTATATGTAAGAAAAAAAAGAAAATTTGGAGAGAAAAAAACAAAATTTTGGAAAGGAAAAAATATCTGAAGTTAAAATACTTCAAAATTAAATGCACATTGATTACAACGAAGAAATAATTTGTCGGTATCTTGCAGTATTAAGCTAGGATTTCCTAAACATTCTCGATCTGCATGGGAAGTGAAAATCTTCGTAAAATGAGATGCTAATTCGGGAGGAGATGGTAACGGTTGTTCCAAACGAAGTTGTAGTTTGCAATGTTCACATCTCAATGAATGTTCATCAGGAAAATTCAGATTGGCAAACTGAAATGTACAAATTTCAAGTACTGAACTCAAGTTTAGAAGAAATCGAAGACGATAACTTTCGGCAATGGAGGAATTTTTATGAACAAATTTAGTTTGAGAAGACATTTAGTTATACAATTCAACATGGCGCAATATCCACCTTGGGGTTCTGGAAAAACTAAGAAGCAAAATTCTCATAAAATTACAATAGCCTACTTCACAAACGAGAAAAAAGAATAATCTAAAGGAATATTTGTTTGCCTACAAAATCAAAGCAAAGATTAAAAAAAGTAGAAGGCGAATAGTCTACTGAAAATGCTGAATTGTACCTGGCATCTTGGACATAAAACCGAATTGTACCCACTTGCCAAATCTTCCAGTCGTTCTTGCTCATAAGCAATCATGCTTTCTATTTCTAAAAACTGTTAGTGAAGTGCAAAAAATATCTTTCGGAATTTTTGTAAAATAATAAATGTATCTTCATAAACAGAAACAGTATTTTAAAAAGACACAGTGATAAAATTAATTTCTGGAATAGATTTATGGAAGGACCCAATAGTGAGATGAAGAAAAAACCTTGCTGGTTAATTTCATCTCGAAATCGTTCGAATTCTTCAATAGCTTCGTTCAGTTCATTATCTGTGATGTGCTCTGATAACCTCAAATTATCAATTTCGTTCTGTAATATGCTTTCAATGAGCAAATCAGTCTCACAACGTTCAAATCCACTGCGTACACGGCTAAAAATTTTCTGTCGTTCATCTCGCAATCGTCGAATAAAGTTCTGAAAAATCTGAATGAAAGTAAGATTACAAAAAACAATAATCTGAACAGTTAGTAGGTACAAATGTGACTGGTAATAATGGCAGCAGGACAGTAATTATGGTATTATCATAAGCAATCAAAAATTTGAAAATGGACAGGTTTCTCAGAACAGTCAAATATGATCACTTCTGTGACCTTCTAAGAAGCCCTCACATGAATTTACTATCTAATATGCAAATATTATTTTCAAACCTTTCTCAATTCATTTTTCCATTCGACACTTTTCCTTTTGTAAAGATGCTGATGAGATGAGATACATTGTTGCTGCTTGAACATTTTTTCAGAACCTAAATTTAAACTTAAATTTAAAATGAGCATGAATTGCTGCAGCATGCAAAAACCATGGACACAACAAAGTCTTCAAACAAATCACTTCAAATTATAAACTTGAATAGTCTCTCACAGCAAGCAACCGAAAAACAGAAAAAAGTAACACCGAGAAATGAAAAAGACGAGAGGGTCATTTCTACACGAATGCCGAGATTTAGCGGTACATCCAATTGCATTGCCATAGAAGGGTCAAAAATTGAGGCCTTGGATTTGAAATTATAAATGTCTTCTTGTCAACTGGTAAAAGGAGACAGAATTTAGTTGAAGCATTTAACGTATGAGTAATATTGGCAAGTAGTCGGTCAGATTTAACAGAAAATGTGTGCGCTTCATTATTTAAATTAAAGCATTATTTTGCGGAGTTCGATTTTTAAGGTTTAGATAAAAGTTATGAATAAAAGTAAAAAGATTTCTGTAAAACGGTAGATTAGTCAAGAAAAGGACTCGAAGAAAATATTTTCCAGAAAAATTCGAGTTTCTTCTACAAATAAGTTCCCAGGAGTCGGAAATCCGCTTTACAAGACTGAAATGATATTTGATCCATACGCAACAAGCGAGCAGTGGGAGTTATTTTCAAATGCTAACTAACTGCTTCCTCAACATATCCTTTTCAATAATTATAAACTACAGCAGTTTGATGGATATCGGAATTTCGTCGAAATCAATAGAAGTAATGAAACTTCGTGGAATATTCACAGAGGAACTAATGAAGTTAATTTCAATTTTCTGCCTCATCTTATTATTATAAGGATGTAAAAGCTGAGTTAATTAATTGTAAATCCGGATAGACGGAGTAACGAAGACCACTGTTTCAGACGTTTTTCAAAGTATTTCAAAATCCTTAAATATTTTTCGTGCCGATATTCAATTGCAATGAAATTCTAGTCTAAATAACTTAATTATGCATCTTAAATACCAGAAAAATCGAAATCTTACAAGTGATTTCATTAGAGTAGATTAATAACATCGATTAATTTGAAAAATTCATTTACATCATATGGGAGAATCCTATTTCTACAGGATTTCTTTAATTCTACTTTAGTTCACCTGCAAATTGGATTAAATTAGTTGAAAAAATGATAAATTTAGTCAGCGAGGTTCAGTGTTTCCAAGATATAAGGAAATATTTCGAATTGCAACGCTATTAAACTTACTATAAATGAACTTAGTCATATTTGAAAACTTTACAAATCATTCGGAAGACTTTACTTATTCTCAGCAAATGAATTATGCCAATTTTTGAGTGAAAGTCTATGTTACAATTGAGATAAGAAATGTTGCTGCTCACGTGAACTCATATGAACGTTATGCACGTTAATCCCAGGCTAATATTAAGTTTTGAATTTTTTTACTTGTTCTCTTATACCGATCGTGAGAGAGAGACAGATGAAGATTCGTCGTGACATCAGTGTCAAAGTAACATAGTTGACTAGTGGGGATTGGAGAGTTTGAGTCGGTGTCATTGATGATAACGTTAGGTTTACACATGTTAAGCATGTCGTCTTGTTTTTGTTTGTCCTACGACCTGTGCTTAATATCATTTGTTTTTTAGTAATGATGTGATGGAGAATTTGTTGCTAACACTTTATCAAACAATTTTGGTAAATTACATCACATTCGATGAAATTACGGTATCAAAAATACAAATAAACGGTCCAGTAAACAATATGAAAAGCAACGAAAAATGTCGGAAATAGAATTCTCGATATAAGATCGATCTGAAATCTGAATCTTCACTCTTTTCCGAAGTAGGAACTGATTCAAAAATGCTGATTATCTGAATCATTTTCAGAGCGCAATTGTCTATTATAGTTACGACAATCAGCGTATTCATCTACATAAAATTATCTTTCATATTTGATTCCTGAATTGACATTTTTCTTCTTTTCCTGTTTATTCTCTATAACCGAGTTTATGTTTATTTCTCCTTTCAAACTACTCCATCAAAATATGAACCTGTGATGGTCGTACCCTTAAAAAACTGTTTAAATATTCATTGGCAGATGTTTTAATCGTAGCTGGCCTTGGACTGAACTGGTTCTTTGACCTTTGTCCCAATAATGGTATCGCGGAATCGTTTTCAGACTATAAAGAAATTCCGGAAAATAAAATTATTTTTTTTAAATATTAAGTTACAAATATCATCGGAGCCTGCAGAATAACTTTCGAAATACTTAAGAATTCATTCTAAAAAAAAATCCTCTTTTCTTAAAATTTGATGCAAGCTGTGATACTTTCGCTTTCAAAATTACAATCAGCCATTAGCAACCTCAGTTCTGAAAGTGTAACTTCTGCGTCCTGTTATTCGATCCCTTTGTATGATCGGTGAATTTTCAGTTAATTTATAAAAAGTTATTGCTGTCGATGTATTATCGACCCAAGAATTTCGATACCGCTCCATTAGATAACCTATTGTTGCATATTCTAGAAGTGATGCAAAAACTGCAAAAAAGGTTATAGACTGTATTATTATGTATTTCAAGAGAGCATGGTATTGAAGAATCGACTTACCGGTTCGTTTTTTGATTTCTGATATTCCGGCAATTGAGCAAAGTTTAAAATAAGTGAAAAAATGATAAAAAAAAAAACAAAGAAAAGAAGATGAATCAAAAATTATGTTTTAAGGCTTCCATTCGACGGTATTATTGTGCAAACTCACCAATGAAATAACAAGTTCCAAGAAAAATATCAAGACTTTTGACGTACGATACCTGAAATAAAGTGTTGTTTATTTAATTCTTGAAAAAATATTTTCTCTCTTCGGGTGAAATGAATACATCACGTCTGTCGTAAATATCGTAAACGTCCGATAATTTCCTGAAGAATGATCCTGGCTCCAGAAAACTAAAGCCAGACCTCTCTAATATTGGGAAACAGTTTAATCTTAAATATAATGATTTGTTTAAAGAAGAATGATAATTGCAGTTCTCTATATTAGAGATTATGTGATACCTTTGGCAATGAGGCATTTATTGAGGTCATCAATGTTGTCATTGTTAGCACTGTCGTAACACCTGCAAATATTTCTCGAGTAAGACGATCAACTAACATATTCATGAATTCCTCATAGACAAACATTTTTTCAGAAACACTCGAAATAAAATCAAATGATAGAAAAATGAGATAATTACCTATTGCAACTCGAGCTTGGGTAGCATCACGATTAAGCCAGAATGATACCCATGACATGACAACAATTAAGGAAGAGGGAAAATATATTTGTATCAGATAGAAGCCAATATTCCGTTTAAAAGTGAAGTAAGTAGAAAGCCGTGAATAGTTGCCTAAATGAAAAGGCACTTACTGAATAAAAATCTGGAAAATGTTCTATTTCATTTTTTATCGTTCGAGTATATTCATTTAATAAATTCTTAAAATAAATCATCTGTCATTATTGAACTAAATTTATTTACGATGTTTAAAACTACTTGCTTCTTCCTTGAAAGCTGAAATAGCTAATACAGTATTTTCAAATTTCAATTCAAGTTTGATTTTTCTCAGTTTTCGGTTCAAATATGGATAACTGGTCAATTATGCAAGAATCATTGGAACTACAATTTTGAAGGAATTGAAACAAACTAACCAGTACTAAGCGAAATGACCCGTTCAACATGTCTATGGTCACCAATTGTAAAATGAGCTAAATGAACATTCTCATCGATTGTTACCGAATTTTCACTCAAATGCCAGTGATAAATGATATCCCGAGTGCTGTACGCATAACTCTGCAAATAATAAACATATAAAAGTGAAGAAAAGCAGGAAATCAGTGAACAAAATGTACCATAACTAAGGAATTGTTGCGCATCAAAAACTAATTATTGATTTGAATTAAAAACTCGCGAAAATTTCAATAACATTTCAATGTTTATCACTATTTAAAACTATTCTGATTCGGAATTGCTAAATTTCCTTAGCAGCTGTATTTCTCAAATAAATAAATATTTATCAAAGATTATAATAAAATTGTTGGGAAATTCAATCCGATAGATTTTATTACAGCGTAACAATGCTAAACGGAAATAAATTTCAAGCTAAGGATTAGCTTCAAATTGATTTCCATTGATCTGCCATTTCTTATAATTCTATGTGATTGTTTTCAAGGCAGAACGAAGTTGCAACGGATAAAATTCATTGTGACCAAATGAGCTGAGAGACGAATAACTTTCAAAAAAATATTAAAAAGGCATATTTGATTGTACTTCACATAGACGGAACGATTTTATTAATTTAAATGATAGGAATTAAAAGTCAACTTTTAATTACAATGATATGAGTCAGGTCATTTAATAGAATTTAAGTCAAACTGGCAATTGTTTGTGAATTAAGGTATTACAATCTTCCATCTTTAGCAAAAGCTGTTATTAAATTGTTTCATTTTTATTTTGCTTAAAAAAATGATATACGATCACATTTGACATTAATCATTTAATCATTCAGAGAAGGCCTATGAATGCTTCCCAAAGGCAAAACAAAGGCAAAATATGACTTCATTGGATATTTGATACTTCAGGCCTTATCTGAATCAGTTTCTCGACTTCTCGTAAAAATAACATTCGGAGTTTTTCTTTTGAATTTTAAATTTGTTTGAAATTTATGTTTACTCAATCTGTTGCTTCCATCTTTTAAGAATAGAAAAGAATTTATTGCTTCCGATGTTTGAAATTCAAAAATGAATGAAATCGAAAAAATTTTTGGAAACGACTGATAAAATACTAATTAAGTTCTAAGTCCAAAAGGAATTTAAAAAAAAGTATAGCTCAAGTTTTAAGAAAAATAAGATTTATCCAATTTGTTGCCTTTAATTTTTTGAATTTGGAGTAAAAGCAAAATAAATCAAACAAAATAGACATAAAGATTGTATTCTAATTAAAGAAAAGATTAAAACGCTAAAATTAGGATTCGTTTTAGAGTTCAAAATTTAGATTTAAGGCCATATTGAATCCTTATCATTGTTAATCAAAAAAAAAGATAGAACTTTGCAATTATAAATGCTGTGCGTAGAAGGATGTGAAATGACAGTTTGCAGCGAATGTCAGCTGATGAGTGATTGGAGAAAAGTTGATAATTGAGAATGTACCTCAAGTTCGAGAGAGCAAACTTGAACGTCCAGTGGAAACTGAAACACAAACTAATAACATATTCATTTTTAATTGTAAGAGCACTGAGGAAAAAAATCAAAGTGAAATTATGAGAATCCGAAAATTTCATTGTTTAGAGAACATGCCTAGGAATTAAAATTTTTAAACATTTGTCTTATTTCTCTACCATTTACTATTTTCCATTTTATTTTTATCTAAATGAAATTTAAACATACACTGTGCAAATTCATCGGACAATCAGCTGTTACTGTAAGCCTGCAAATGGAAAAAATTGCATTTTAATGTATGATTATTTTAATTTATTAAATTTTTAGCAATTGTTTTGTTAGCAATTCAGTCATTGATGTATATTGATATTAAGGTTTATAATTAGTATGATATGAAAAGATATGTTAAAAAAAATTTTACCTGATGCTACGAAATGCGTTCCCGCGATTATCGATACGTAGAAAAGAGTTATGCGTTGTTGCTTTATGAAAGAATGATTTCTTCTCATTAGGGAAAAATGTATCCGGAACCCAAATACTCTTTATGAAATCAATCCCAATTGTTAATTCTCTCTCATCAGCACTTTCAAATGCTAAACGATTATCACGCCAGAATTGACGCAGATACAATGCAACAGTGTAATCCTGCAAATTAATCTAATCTTAGGAAATGAGATTTTTCCCGCTACTTATCAGTAATAGCAATTTTTATCATATATAATAGAGATAGCATTTTATTGATTGAGGATTTGAAGATATGATGATATGAGTGTTCAAGAATTTTCTTTAATTTTATCAATCATTGTTGTAATTGCAATAAATCAATCAAAATTCATTTTTGTTTACATTCCATCTATAATTTATATTAATACTACGTTTTGTTATAGGAATATAACTATCGGACGACTTATTTTTGCCTAATTTAAATATTATTTCAAAAAAATAAATTATTACAAAGAAATGAAATTCAACAAAGCAACAAAGGTAATTGAGATAATTACGAAATAATTTTACTGAAATTAACAAACAAATAGTACCATAGAAACTTCTGAAACAGCACTTATCATAGTAACATGAATGGTAACGTTCACTTCGATTGGTGCCCCTCAAAATAACCATTTATTAATTTATCATTCTTTCTGATATATATATATTATATAGACTAATTATTTAAGAGGATATATAGCAAAAGAAAAACTCAGTTGATTATTTTCCAAAAGATATTAAATTTATCGAAAATACATAGAATCTTTCTGAAGTATACAATGCGCAAAATGTATCCATAAACTGATTCGTTAAGACTTTAGCTTCCAAAAATTCTTTTAATATATGATATGTTAATTGATAAAAAATTCTGAGTCAATGGTATATGTGAAAAGCAGCATTTATTTCAATATATTAGCCGGGTGATCGATCCTTTCAGATAGGTTCAATTCTTTCCCGATATTTATTAGTACCGAAAATGTAACTGTATGTCGTAAAGTATCACTTTTCACAAATTAAAATAGGAAAATACCTGAAAGATTTCGTCTTTATTCAAAGTATACATTAATAAAAATCTGAGTATTTATCATCTTTCATTTATGTGTATTTGATAGAGAATAGTAAGACTAACGACCGTAATTTGGCCTAATTCTTCGATCATAACTCGCGATCAGCTGATCGAGCAAATGACTAACATTCATTTCCAAATGACGTTGTAGTTGTTGATTTTTTTCATTTGAAGCAATTGAATTTCTTGAACAAAAAAAGAAAGAAAATTTTGCTAATTAATAGACAATGATCAGATTAGGCTTATGTACTTTTATTTATCTGTCATAAAAGCGACGTTTCTCATAGTAGCAGTCTTCCAGCAAAAGTTAAAATTGAACTTTTTGAGAATGAGTATTTAAAAAATTTGTTCTCTTTAAAGCCCTAAAAGATATATTAAATAGCTTGCTAGAGATACTGCACGCAGCGGGGATTAAATCTATGAGAGATTTTACGAGAGTAATATCGCGAAGAGTTTGTGACGATGAGCTGAAAAAAAATATGTGTGAGATTTTAGGAAATATAAATCTACGTGCAGTATCAATTTCTAAATTCTGTAATTAAAAAATCAAGCTTACTGGTGGTGCACTCCATCATATTCAATTTCTGTCACCAATTTTGGTATTAATTTCTAAAACTCTACAATTAAGCTTTAATGTTATCAACCCATGCATGACCATTACCATTGTTCACATTTTATCATATAACATGACATTTATAATAGCTCAAATTTTAGCTAATTTAGTAATCGAAGTTTACTATTTGAAAAGAATTTTCATGTATTATTGTACGAAACTCAAAATATCACGAAAGTTGTTATCAGAGATTTTTAAGCAATAATGCAGTTGATTCGTTACAAAAAATTGATTGACTAAAATTAGATGCAAAAATCTCATCTAATAAAGATTTGAGAAATTCTCTCTGAACAGCATTATCAAAATAATCAATGGAATTATTAAAATATGATAATGAGAAAAGCATACGAAAAGAACTTACAGTACACGATTTGTTAGATATCGTGATGACATGCGGAAACAATACAACAACTATTAATGATTTGTAGGCAGCTCGTAGATAATTTGAAATAATCATATTGATTTTAGTTGATCCATTAAAGCGACAATGTTGTAGCTCGATCGATCAGTACCAAAGTAATAAAAATTTTTAATTTATCTAAAGTCCATTTTTTCACAACAATTTATGAAACATAATTTTTAATATAAGAAACAAGGATTGTATAGCAAAACTATTAACTTCTGATTTGCCAGCTTATGGATGCTATCAGAAGCTGTATATGATTGTTTTAAACTAATATAATAGAAATTTAATTAGTCGTTTTTATAATTTTATATTAAACTAACCATTAATATATGTTAAAAAGTGGAAAAACCAACAAGAAAAGAAAATAAATGGGAAAAAATTTAAATTTTCAGGTACTTTGAAATACTTTGAATACTTTGAAATATTTACCTAAGATAAACTTTATCATCCAAAGTTGCTAAACAAATTTACTTCAGAAGGAAATAAATTTCAGAGTGGAAAATTCAATTATTAATAATTTACAATGTAATCAATAAGTCCATACAGATAAAAGCATCGGTTGGTAATAATTTCGTTTTCAAATAATAACGAAGCTGTATATATCGTACGTACGCTTCATAAATGGTTATCAATCTTTCTTCGAATAAACAAATAGTGATATTATTATCTCTTAACGTTCGCTGGTCAAGTTATTGACAGTTCTAATCAATTAGTTGGATCAAAAATAAAATTATTAGTCAAATTAAAAAAAATAAGAGAGATTTTTTAAAAAATTAATGAAAAAAAATAAATAAATTTCAATTAATGAAGATTTCGAAGGCAAAAAAAAGTTAGAAGAATTCCAAAAAATTTTTAAGAAAAGCTGAACGAATTTCTAAGCTTCAGTGAAGCTAATTTGTAAGTTAAATAATAATGTAAGAAGCATTTATGGTTCGTTGATAAGCAATATTGTCATTTTGCTCTAGGCCTTCATCATTTTTCTTTCAGATATTTTTCTGGCCTAAAATTCCTTAGAGATTTCTTTATACAAACATATCACAAAACAAAAAAAGGCGGTAAAAATTAAAAAAAAATAATTCAAATAAAATATTCTCAAATAATCTTAATTATTATTTTCACAAAAATTTTAAAAACTTATTTAAATTACTATTTTTTCGCAAAAAAATAAATTTTTTTGCGATAAAGTTATAAATTTTCAATGAAAAATTTAATTTTGCATAAAAATACTTATTATTTATTATTAATTATTAAATATTATTTATTAATTATTATCAAAGACTCTTAATTTCAAAGAAAATTATTTCCGAAGGAAATATTAGCAAATATTGTTGGAAATTTTGTTTTCTTTACTGCAAAATCAATTCATTAAGAAATGTGTTGGCAGTCGAACTTCGTACTTTTCTTTAATAATTCTAAACTATTTAGACGAAAATTTTGATAAATGAAGCAAATTAACTATATACCATAATATTGTTGAAAATGAATTGTTTATTATCGTTGTAAATTAATGAATTTACCAATGAATACCCGATATTTCTCAATAAAAGAAGTGAAGGATATGATATAGAAGAAGTAAGGAAGAAGGAATATCAAGGATTCGAAGATTTCGGAAGGAAAGGAATAAAGGTTGTCGATTTTTGTCAGTTTTATATTACTAAGAAAGCTCAGTTTTTTCTTCAAAAAAAAGAAGGAAATTGCAGCAAAATAAATTGCATAAATATTATACGAAGGAAAAAGATGAGAAGTCGATAAAGCGGCTTTCTTAATTCTTTCTTTCCAACTTTAAATTTCTCTTCCATAAACTTAATCTGAAAAAGAAAAAAAGCTTTTCAATAATTTTGTACTGAAAGTGATAAATTTAAAAATAAATTGGTTGAGCTATTTTTAAAGGTAAAATCGAAATTAGATCGATGAAATAAGCGCAGCTTGCAGCAGTAATATTTTTCAAATCAGAATGGCATACATTAAAATGAATAATTCTACTATTTTATTTCTTCTACGACATTTACTTTTTCCCTATTATTTCCTTCATATAATCTTTAATTTCAAATACTCCAATAATATTCAAATAATACTTTGTTAGTAATTATATCAGAAGCGATAAATATGCAATCTTCTTAGTAAAGTTTGCAAACTTTTTCTTTTTTTTTTCGTCTTTGCTTTTTATTAAATTAATTCAAATTATAGAATTAATTTAGTGAAAATTTTAATCAGTTTCAGGCTCATATAAATTTTAAAAATATAAAAATTTTTGCAAAAATAAAAAAATGCTTTAATATGCTTAAACGTAAAAGATATTTAATACGTGAATGGAATATGCGTAAGTTTCACGTTTTTCTGATATACGCAAGCAAATACGAAAGGTTAAACTTTCAATTGGTAATTAGCATTGTTTATAATTGTGAGAATAAGTAAAATAAAATATTTCAATAGCGTCTGCATTTTTTCCGTATCGCTCATAACACCTTATTCACATTTATAACGTGAAGGAAAATTCTATGAAAACGGAAAGAGTATTCAGTTTCAGGTTACATTCATAAAATTATCTCATTCAAATTTTTTCACCATGTTCTTCTTATTTTGGGCGTTTCATAAATAACTGAAAATATTTGTATTGCTTTTTCAATACTCTGAGGGAAGCCAAGAGATTAGAAGTTTATTATTTGAATTGGAAATAGAAGGCCTGTGGAGACTGCTATAAAATGAAGTCAAAATGGAAACATTTTTTCCTCTCTTATAAATGAAAATGTTCGGTGGTGCAGAAGACTAGGCTTTAGCATTGAGGCACATCACAAAAACTGAACAATATACTTGTTAAACTTTAAAATGCTTTAAATTTATATATTTATCCATTTCTCTATACATTCGGAAAATACGCCATTACTGCCTTTTTGGTTGTAGAAATGTAAGCATGAAAATCTTACCTGAACAGCTCAATTTCACTCTACCTGAGTATATTAATCCTGGCTCAACACTTCGATCTTACTTCAATAAGTAAGTCTAGCTTAATATTTTCAGTAAATAATACAATAAAAGAGATATAAAAACTTCAGAAGAAGAAAATATTGAATACAAATGAAGAAAACTGATGATTGATGGATTCAGTAAAATCTGATTCCATTGAATCTGTCAGTTATAAATAGCCATTTTTCATAGGATTGTAATTGCTTTTATCAGTCTCGAATATCTGGGACTGATTTAATCTTGGATTGAATAGTGCTGTCATAATTGAGATACATTTTTTGTTCTTATTTTTTTATCGGCTATCGATCCCACTTTAACTATATAATTCCTACAACTTGTGTTAAGTTTTTGATTAAATAACTCATCATATTCAGGTCATTTTAATTGATTAAATAACTCACCATATTCAGGTCATCTTGATTAAATAACTCATCATATTCAGGTCATTTTAATTGATTAAATAACTCATCATATACAGGTTAATTTAATATCTATCTCAAAAACTTCCAGTCAAAAGCATTAAATTTCGATAATTTTCATTGAACAAAAATTTGATTCATTTCTATCACGATTTTGAAGGACTTCAATTGAATTAACATTATCACCAATTTACAACATTTGAGATAAAGATTTAACTTTTCTCTGCAAAAGGAAAACATGCCTATAATAAGTTTGGAAAAGTTTTGTTTTAATTAAGGAAAAATAAATATTCGAAAATCAAAATGATTATTATAACTATAACTTTTTTATGACTATAACATCCTTAAAAACTATAATATTTAATTATCATAATGATAATGATAAAATAAGAAAAAAAAATAATGTGAATATGATGAATTCGAGCTTTGCTTATTATAATTTCAGTAAATAATATTTGTTAGAATTATTTCCTTTGATAATACGAATAAAATTGCGATATTATAATAACTCAAAATAGGAAAATTTCATAATTAAAATCAAACGAAAAAAGGAAATTATAATCGATTTCTTCTTCTGATGCCTGAAAAAGCTATGAAATGACAAATTTTGGCATTTCATTCTATTTCTTTTTAAATGATGAAATTTCTGTGAAACAATAAATGTGAACGCAATGATTTCACTCTTCTATCCATTTCAATTTCATTTTAATTAAACGAATTTTCATTTCAATTGCATTGGAAAGCTCTTTCGTAAAATTTTGTCCATTGTCAGCTAAGAAAAACTTCTTGTTTGCTCTATCATATTGCCTATAGTATTCCGACGTACCTTCTTTTAAAGAAATATATCAATCTATAGACATCTTGAGATATCTGAAAGATATTTAATATGAATATACTCTAAAAGATTTTAAATAAGGAAAGAAAGTTCAAAGGTTGGTAGTTTTGTTAGAATTTGTGCTATAAGAAGGGAAGAAAGAAAAGGATAGAAAAGGTACCATTTACTCTAAGCTTAATAACCAACTAAAATATATCCTTCCTTTAATACATATATTTTGATATATCTTTTTTTAATATAATTTTTTTAATTTTAAGAAATACATAGATATTTTTTTAGATAGCATTTGCAATTACATAAGTTTAGTTTTACAGTTTAGTATCATTTTGAAAAAGTTATTTTGAGAAATTCGATGTATTGACAATTAAATCATTGACAATTAGTTTTTACGAGATTTTAAACCTGTTGTCACTTCTCATTTAAATTTGATAATTTTGATTTCGCTGAATTGTTTGGTGAGAAAATAATAAGAAAAGATAGTGAAAGAAGAAAGATGACATGGGAAAAAGATGGCAAGAGATATTTAAGTTGGTGAATGACCATTACATTCATTACCAACAAAGCGAATGACCATTACATTCATTATCAGTAAAGTAAATGACCATTACACCCATTGCCAGTTGTGGAGTAAAACGAAGTGGTAGAAACATAAAAAAAAGTAACCTGTCGGTGGAAAATATGAGTCACCGGGACTTTTTGCGCTTCCGACTAATTTTTAACGCTAATTTTTAGAATCTTCTCGGCATACAAACAAGAAATTATAAAGTAATTTTTGGAAAATCAAAAATTGCAAAAAGCGTCTGAAAGAAAATCCAATGCTCGATGAAAATTAATTTCAAATTTCATTAACATTTTAAAATCTAATTTATCGTACTAGAAATAAAATAAATAATAAACTATTACTTCTTTCGAAATTTGATTATTTTGCAAAATTGTTGAAGGAAGACGATTAAATAGAGATTTCGTCCTCTAAGTTTTGAATAAATTTTTAACGATCTAATTTCGGTTATTCTTCCAAATTAGAATTTTTTATTACAGCATTATTTGTGGTACTTGAAAGTGTATAATAAACAGAAATAATCACCAAAAACTTTATTTATTTTATCATATTCATCCGTTTTGAAATAATTTTAAGCATCACTTCATCACAACCACCGGCAATTGAGAATAATCGAAAATCTCGATGATAGCGACTGATTAAACTGTTCCACTCATAGCCATTACCACCCCAAAACTGTAAATAATTTTTGCTGGGAAAATATAAAGAGGAATAAAAGAAATTCATTTACAACTATTATGGATTTTATTAAGGGAATAATTTTAGTTAACAAAGTTTCATTTTCGTTTTTCTGGATGTTATTCATAGTTACTCGCAAATATTTTAAGCCAACTAAAATGAGCTTTCACTAAAAGGCAAATTTAACAAAGACTCAAGCAAAGGTCAGTATCGTTTTGCTGGTATGATAGGATAGTAAAAATCAATGATAAAACTCTAGCCAAATTCTTATGTAAAAAATTTCCCGAGAATGAAAGTTTTGGTTGCTTTCTCAGAGTGTTATGTAGAAATCATAAAAATTTATACTTGTATGCAAGAATCGGTCACTGCTCTCGCCAGACGCGAAGCTTTTAATTTTCCCATGCTGGCCAGCATTGTAACATCTTTTCCAAGCAGCCGTTCCATAACAGTTCGATATAATAATGATCGAACTGCTTCAATCTCTGTTTGTAGTTCAGCCAACCGATAATGCACAGTCTTAAATTTTTAATTTCAAAAAAAAAATAAATGTTAGAGTGTTAGAGTATATATATTTATATATATATTTGTTCCTTATTCTTTTAGTTAAATATATTAAAATTTAAAAAAAAAGAATAAATGGAGCGGTAGAAAAAGTTGCATGAAAAGATTTAATAAACGATTCAATTTATAATTAAAATTAATATAAAATACAATATGCAAAGCATGCAATATCATCCAATACATTCGCCACGAATAGTTGAGCAGTTCTCATTTCAAGTTTTATTTTATTCGATAAAAGAAGAGTTAAAGATGTATCACCTGATTTTCCAAGACACTTTTGTTAAAAACGCGTCTCTGTCGCGTATAAGCAATTGTCATATCAATAATTTTTTGCATCGGTTCAAGTACTGAATATAATGAAAGGTTAAATTAGATGTGAAATTTTCAGGTAAGAAAATTATCTATCATAAAATACACACATATAGTATTAACAAAGTAAAGTGAAAAAAGTGTGTTAGGCGTGATAAAGAAGATATATAGTAGATATATATAGATATATATAAGATATATAGTAAATTTAAAGAAGCGAAAAATTTTTAAATGTATCCAGCAATTTGTATGGAAGCGCATATGGCAGATGTGATAATAGTACGACAACGAATCAACGAAGTAATCAATGAGGGCGCATTTTGTTAGCTAGAAATGATGACTGAGAAACTTACGCACAGCAATAGCGACAAGTCGTTCATCCTGAAATTGCAGCATCTGATAGACAAAACCATTTCCTTCTTCGCCAATTATATTTCGGCTTGGTACACGAACATTATCGAGATAAATTTCAGCAGTATCGGAACTATGCATGCCAAGCTTTTCAATGCGATTGGATCGATGTACACCTGAGAAAGTAAGAATTTGACCAAAGCAAACATTTTATTTTTAAACTTCGTTATTGCCGTCTTCTAAGATTTCTCAATTGAATTAAAAAGAATGCTCATTTTACTACTTTTCTTACAAAATAAACATTTCCGCTTCAAACGTCAAATTTTAAAGAGTTCATAAAACGTCTTAGTTTTAAAAAAATTCTTTTTTTTTAGAGATTTCTTTTAAACATTGGTAAGTGAAGTATAGGTAAAATAACCTGGCTCATTTAATGGCACACATATAAGGCTCTTATTTCGATGTGGTGATGGATTATCATTTGTATTTGCTAGCAAGCAAATCCAATCTGCTTGTGTACCATTTGTTATCCATTGCTTACTACCATTAATGATCAAATCACTTCCATGCCAGCGAGCTGTTGTTTGAATTGCTGAAATCATTTTTGAAAAAAGAAAATTGTTAACATACTTAAATTTAATTTTTTATTTGGTTAATAAATCTTTTGTCGTGTTGAATTTTACTTTTCAAGAATTGATGAAACAATTTCAAAGTGGAATTTACCAGCAACATCACTACCAGCAGAAGCTTCCGATATACCTAAACATGCCACCAGATCACCTTCCAAAGTAGCTCCGAGAAATTCACGCTTCAAATAATCGCTTCCATACATAGAGAGCGCTGGCGTAGCCATATCTGACTACATGTTTGTTCAAGCCAAAAAGATTACTTAATTTACTTACTCACTTACTTATGATTAATGAAACATTTCATGTGAAAGCTTCATAAAGTGTCAAATTAACAATTATTGAATTGTTTAGGAAAAGTGACATTATAAGAGCACTATCTGTAATAATTTTTCCATTGTAAAAAAAACCGCAGAAAAAAAATTGATACCTGAACAGCTATAGCCATCGGAATCGCCGCACAATTAATTCGGCCTAATTCTTCGGCTACAGCTATCGAATAACTGAAGTCCAGGCCAAGACCACCGTAATCTGGAAAAAGGATATTTGCATTCGCTTATTTTAAATTCCTACAATATTAGTGCAATTTTCTCAAGGTTAAGATGTTTGAACTTTGGCTCGAGCAAAGAGCTCATCATAATGCTTTACTAATATCATAAGTAAATAAATAAATGTTTATCAAATAGATTTCTATCGCTAAAGAAATCTGTTTGATAAACAATTCCCTTCTTTCTGGTGTGTGGTGTTCTGCTATTTTTCGATGAGTCAAAGATTAACTGAATCAGGCATGCATTTCTGTCGCTAATAATCACTTTCAATATTTCAGTTCCGATATTTGTCGAGAGGAAAAAGAAATCTTACCAGTGGGTTTATTAACACCGAAGATCCCAAGTGATCCTAATTTTTTGAATAAAGTATGTGCTGGGAAATGTTTCTGTGCTTCCCATTCATCGACGTATGGATTGATACTTTTATCAATGAACTGAAATATAATTATTTTTTGAAAATGATAACAATTAACTGAATTGCATACAGGAATCGATAAAATTGAACAAATAACTAAGTGAATTCATGTGAAATAAGAATTATTAAGATGGCAGCTGCCGCTTCTATAAAGATATCAAATTATCACACAATAACTGGAGATAGTTTTCACAAGCTGGATTACAATATCATCATTTATTTCATCCCTATCAAAGGAATAAGGTATTTGATTGCCCAAGAAGTAGCATTGTCTTTCTACTATGCCTTGATAATAATATAGCTTGTAATACATCTATTTCCGATTTTGTACAACAAAAAAGAAACAAACGAAGTTTCAAATTTTACTTTCGAAAGAAATTCCGGATCGTTCTTAAAATTCCAAAGTTCTTTATTCACATTAAAGAGAAAGAACGAAAGAAAAAAAGATTTCACATACCTTGCCAAGTACTTGTCGAAATTGCAGATGTCGAGGTCCATATATGGAATGTTGTGACAGTCGAGAAGTTGCTTTGGGTAAGTTAGCTGCCATCGACTAAATATTTTATGCAGTAATAAAAAAATTCAGATTAATTTTATATCCGCTATTTGGATTTTTTTCTGTTCGCAAAAAATTCTATCAAATTGTAGAAATTTTTCCAGAAATTAATTTGACAATCTTCAACTCACTCCAAAAAAGGATGAGAATAAAGTTGAATCTTTCCATATTTGACATACGCAACATTCCGAAACATTTAATAATATTGGGGAAATCAATAAGCAGTCAATAAGTCACTCCGAAACACTTACTAATACTGAGGAAATCAATAAACAATCAATAAGAATATTTTTAAGAAAAACAGCAATTAACAAAGAAGTGAATGCCGACGATCTATTTTGTGTAAATAAATTTGTCCTTCAATTTCTCGCAGTTTTTTTTCTTTCGCCAGAAGCTGCAAATTTTGCGGAAGAAGGAAATTGTAATAAGAATGAAGAAGTTGAAAGAAATTAAATAAATAAAATGTTCAAATAAAGATTAAAAGGTTAAGGAAAGAGGAGACAAAACATTCAGAAGAACACCCAAAAAATTTATCATTAAAAATGTAGTGATAAGATAAGGGACAGACGTGACGTGACGCGACGTGGAGTATGCACTGATGAACTCTCTCTTTTCTTGAGAGAGAAGAAGATAATGAATATACGGGTAACCAAAAGAAATAAATGGAAGGCATAGCGAGAAAAGAATGGATTTATCAATTAAAGCTGGCTGCTCCCGTACCTGGAATCTTTGTTAACGATCACCATAGAACTTGTTTTGCTTCGATCATAAAATTAAGCGAACCCTTAATTTCATTATTAATCTGTCAATGTCTATTAATCTATCAACCTATTTATCTCTAATATCAAAAATCCCCTATCCTTCTCATTTCAATTTCCTATCCTTTACCTGTCCGATCATCTTGTCCATGAACTAGATGAAACCACCAAAAGTACCAAAATCTCTCAGTGCAACATTTTTCATAGACCGGAAATATGACTGCATACTGGAACAATCATGCTGATCTGCATTTTAAAATCACCTACTTTTGGTTCCGTCCCGTCAACAAACTGGAAAGCCAATCATACTAAATGTGCCTACGGGTGATAAATTTAAACTAATCAAATCTGCTTTACTTTTGTTATTTTATCTTTGGTTAACTTCGTCATATTCCATCGCATACCACATCAAAACGCATTCTCATCATGAATAATAAATTAAAATTCAAAAACTCGCCAAATCCACCTAAGTGAGGCTCTATACTGCTTAATTCATTTAATTTCTTTATTTACATCCCTTTTTTTCCCAATTGATAATATAAAATGAGTCTTGCAATTGCAGTGAAATGAATGAAAACTAAATGCATAAAAAGAGATGTAAATAAATATAAACCCAGCAAGCATTCAACACTGCCACTTAGTATCACTTTAACCTCAAGTGGATATCTGTTTCATCCAAATAGAATTGTGTGGCACGTCGAAATATTCTCATTAGTTGGCTTAATATTCAATGGAAGAAAAAAAGATCCCTTCTAACGTGATATCTTCATTATGTTCCTCGGAAATATTTCCTCAGTCGTATCCTCTTCTGTGATTCTGTTTATGGCATAAAACATTGAAATTACAAAAACTTTGAAATTTCATACTTTTGAAAGTATTTATTACTGTGCATTGATTAGTATATATACATAACAACGAAAATTTTTCCTGCGAAAAGAACATAAAACAAGCTTTGACTTTTCCACAAATATCGACTTCAGAAAAACTGAAATTAACATGGACATAAGTCAACTCCATAATTACAACATACAAATAAGAAACAAAAGCAATATACTTCAAATTTCAAACACAAACTATAAAACTGCAACACGAAAAGCATTGCAAAATTAAAATCCCATCTTCTAATATGAAGCAGATTCAACAAAAAAGCACAATAAAAATCAAATCCCTGTGAATGAGGGCTCCTGCTATCCAAGCAGATTGTATAACATACATACCCTGTCGGTTTGTTGAATTATTCGTCAGCTCCATAATTACAACATAAACAAAAATTAGCAATAAAAAACGATATGTCTTAAACTTCCAATAAACTAGACAGTTCGAGGCTTTTTCAAGTCCGCTCCTTATCATCAATAAATGTAATTTCGCTAAGAATTAGCACCTTCGATGGCAGCGGATATGGTTGTGGACTTAGGACTGTTAGCTTTTCTCGCTCCATATCCACAGCCGTAATTACAATGAAACCCATCACGTTCGTTGTTAGTATTGATTGATCGACAGTTGCACATACGGAAACTGATATAAGATGATGTACCAATTCTTCTGATGGTTCCACTGGTACTACCTGAAAATTTCAAAATTCAAATAATTAAAACGTGAGTTGATCATATATCCTTAAGAATTATGAAACTTTTAAATGGGTAGTATTCTACGTTTACTATACCAAATTTTGAATAGTTTCTGCAGCAATATCTATTTATATTCGATAGTTTTCGCTGTTTTTTTTATAATTAACACCCTTATCGACTATCTTTTTAATCTGCAATTATATTAAAATTCGCTCGGTAAATCATAAAATCAAATAAATAACTACTACATCCTATGTTTTTCTCACAAATTTCTTGAGAGAAATTCTGCGTTGAAGAAAATGAAATCAATACTTTTGTCCTATGGTCTTTAAGTTTCATCCCAAATGGTAAACATTCGATAGGTAATCGTTCACAGCCAATTTTGCAAAATTGAACTTCATCAAATGATAATTCGAACGTATGTGGATAAAGTGGTACTGCGCGTGTGCCGTAGAAATACTAAAATTATTAAATTTTATTGATAAAACAATCAATTTAATCTGAAAAACATTCCATGTTTCAGAACAAATAAGCAATTGCCCATAATTTTATCTCATGCAATTGTAAATGACTTTTTAACTATAAAATTTAGATTATTCAGAAAAAAATGTTTCTTTCAATACTTTTTAAACTGAACATTTTACTAATCAAATTTATAATGCATAGGGACTAATGATATAGAAACCTTATGTACAACAGCATTGCGATTTGATATTCTGACTTCTTTTGAACGATTCTCAACACCACCAGACTTCGGCTGATGCAAAATCTATAGCAATATATTACAACTCAAACATTTATATAGCCAATTCTTCTAACAGCAGTTGAATTAGATAAATGAATAATATAAATTCACATCCTCAATGAGTACCACAAGTTTTTGCTCCTTCATGTAGTGCTTTTCCCGTACGGAAGTGCTGCAGTTGCTTTCGACTACACTTACAAATCAACAAAGCCACAGTGTCTTATAAAATCGTTTTTTATCTATTTCTTGTTTACCGCGTCGATGAGTTTAGTCTTATGCATGTATCATTTTAACTCATATAAAGCTTTTGAAAAGCATGTTTTCCCTGCTACAGCTAGTTTAAGATCTATTCAGGGTGTTCAGAGAGTTTTCTGAAATATGGGAATAAAAATTTAACCTTAACAAAAGATGGTAAATCTCGTTGTAACTCATTGTATAATCGCTCATGGTCTAATACAATCACAACATCAACTTCAAACTCTTCTGCTGCATTTACTAAACATGCATACCTGAAATTGAATTGAATTTTGATTATACGTTCTGCATGAGTTTAACATCCCCTCTTAGTAAGTCGTCAGAAACTATCTCGAACACCTGTCACATTCAACATTCATATTTGTTGTTCCCAATAAAGTAATTATAAATTGAATATTTGAAAAAAGAAAAATTCAACCTACTAAGTTTTCAATAATATTGATATAAATAAAATTACATAAATTACTTACCCTTCTCCTTTAACCCAACCACATGTATTGATTATTACTCCTCCATAAGTAGCATCTTGGTTAGACTTTCGTCTTTTCGATACTGCTTCTGCAAGCTGCTTCACTAGTAAATCGTATAGTGGGATGTTAGAACCGGGCGAAAGATTTCCAAACTAAAGACTGCACAAATTTAGCTTTTCATGAAAGACAAAAGTTAAAATATTCTCAATTATCCATAAAAGAAGGATGGATGCTCCAAAATAGCAAGAAAATCAAAAGTAGGAAAAAATTTTAGGCTTAAATTGAAAATTAATTTGATCTTACAATGAAATGCTACCCACTAACAGTTAACTTCATTTTGGATTTAAAAAGAACCATCTACTTTACATATAATAACATTCATGAATGTATATTCAACTCATGCTTAATGTCAAAAAATTTAAACATACATGATATACTAAGGGTGCCCTTTTATCAAAACCTTCGACAACATCAGCTGTTTTCTCGATATAGAGTGCTCCAACAGTTCCAGGGACAGAAATACTTCCCTAAAATCATAAAACTTGTCCTATTAGGATAATAAAACGCAAAGCCTAAACCATTAAGCATTCAGATTAACATAGGCCTGCAAATATCTCGAAATTAATTTTTTTTCAACAAACGATTTAAATCAATTTGAAATTAATATCACATGCATTCTCAACATGATCCAAACTTCAAATCTATGATCCAAAAGTGAATATGATCCAAACTTGAAGTCTTATGTTTTATTTTCGTTGAAACTCTTATAAAAATTAAGTGAAAAACTACCTGCCCGACATCCAAATCAACAAATATTGGTGTTCTGCCTACACGGACTGCATAATTACACAGAATACGGCAGACCGTTGTTTTACCCACATCTGTTGGACCTACTATCATTAACGATGGCCCACGAGCTTGTTCTTGTTGCATAACAACTGATTCAGCATGCTCACGTAACTGCTCCAAAGCTGCATGTGTATTCAAATAAATGATCTAAAACATGTCCGTTTCACACAGTTCATTTTTTGTTAATCATATTATACTTTCCAATAAAGAAAATTCTGAAGAGACAAATAACTTCTGAGTAATGCCAGCGAAAAAGTTAATAAAACCGCAAATTCACGAAAATCTTAAATTTTGACTGTTGAGATAACTGTACCTTTCTTATAGTTGAAACCAGTTATTCTGAACAAAG